GCATCAACCACCTTGCGCTTGCGCAGCGTTCCAGACGCTTCCCGTGTGTTTTTGAAACTTACTTTTGCATTATCAATCCTTGCCCTCACTGCCTTTGAAGGATCGTGTATCTCATAGCTATACTTCATTGCCATTCGCAGGGATATTTTTTTTCCCCCTATGTGTGCATTGCAAATTTTTCTTCAGTGCATATGGCTGCAGCACAGGCACACCACATTCAAAAATACTGCATCCACAAATCAGCTATCCAAGCCCATCCTGTGCAATGGGCACAATCGACATCAAGATCAAGAAGGTGTATCCTGTATACGCATGGAAGTGGAACATCGACGACGACATCTGCGGAATATGCCAGCAAGGATTCGATCAAGTATGCTCCAAGTGCAAGCATCCAATAGACTGCAAGCCATGCACAGGAAAATGCAGGCATACATTCCATGTCCACTGCCTTTCGCTGTGGCTGCAGCAGAAAAAAGTATGTCCCATGTGCAGGATGCTGTGGGAATACCACAAGATGTTTGAATAAATCTGGTTGCTGCACAAATCACATTCACGAGCAAGATATGCTGCCAAGTAAAGCATGCATCCATGTATGCTTATCTGCCATCCGTACACAAGATGCTTGCTTTCAAGCCAATTGCATTCGTAGATATACATCCTAAAAATTTTACCCTTTAAGAATGCAAATCGGAGTGAGGTTTGGTGGAGAAACATCATTTCTCCAGGTAGAGGCGCTTTCGTCGATATTGTCGCTGAGGAAATCAGTTTGTAGTATATTTGGAATGAACTCTGATGCCATTGCACTGCTGCACAATGCAAGCGTACTGGAAGGTTCAAAAACAATTGCTGCATGTGGAATACAGAATCTTGACATTGTTCAAGCATGTCAAAGAGTACTCGGCGGAGGAGGAAACATGTCTGAAAATGACAAGGCACTTGTAATGCGCCAAAGAATAACAAGTAAAATGATTTGCCGTGGATGCTATGCAAGATGTGCAATCAAGGCATCGACATGCAGAAAATGCCACTGTTCGGATCTTAGGTGCAAGAAGGATGCAAAAAACACCACTTCTAAGAAATAAGAACTAATAATTAAATCTTCATTTCATAAAATTACTACTGAGATATGCAAAAACACCTGATGCATGTGCAGAAAGAAAGCATCAAACACGCACCGTTGTCTTAATAAGCATCATGACAAGCTGACAGCTGACTTGTATAACATATACCTTAGGTTTAATTATTAATGTATTCTTCATTAATCTCATCAATGTGGGAAAGCAGAAACATATCGAATCTCTGCAGGAAAATGTTTCTTTGGCGGCCGCCATCGGGCATCCTTCTCTTCTTTACATCGTCCCGAATCTCCTCGACTTCTCTTTTTGGTGGTGCTTTCATCTCTAACTTGCATTCCTTCAAAATACTATCTGTCAGCCTGATCAGCTCCCATCTTGTCTTTGTCGAAAGATCCCACACCCACTTTGCTTGTATAACTCCATCCATAAAGCTCAGCTCATTCATTCCATGGAACGCTGCACTCGCACTCCTCGAGTCATAGAACTCAACACATCGCTGGTGGCTCTTGACATATCGGATCTCCTTCACCTCGCCAAACTTCTCGACCTGTTCAGAAAATTCCTTGTCATCCACAGATGCATTCGAATTCTTAAACGTAAACACCAGTGTGCTCTGATTCTTAGACTCATCACATTTGTCTATTTCCCTTGGAATCTCATATTTGCTTATTATATGGCTTGCAGACAGCCCCTCGTGCTCCTTCACATGCTCAAACGCCTCTCTGGCCTTCCTCTCATCATAAAACAGTATGCAAAGCACTCGGTAATCGTTCTGGATCGTATAGCATTCCTTCACATCAAACATCTCCTCGAGTCGGCCTCGCACCTCTTCATGCTGAGCCTCATCACAAAACCCTGTCACTATGATTGTCTTCGTCAAATGCCCCTGCTCGCCCGTTCTGCTGCTCATCAGGGGCATGCCTCGAAATATGCAAATTACTCTACAATCTGTCTCCCATTAGCAATGCTGTCCACAGCAACGCATAAAGCCTACTTCTGCAACTTTAATGGTGTTTTCATCTCCAGGCACTTCATCCTCGCCACCTCCAGGAATGTAAATTGAGACTCAGACAGCACACAAAATCCTTGGCTTTCTTTGCTCGGCATTTCTCTCATGCATGCAAAAACATCCTTTACCGCATCGTCCCTGCGAACAAACTTCATCGAGCACACAGGCTTGTCTTTTTTTCGGTTGAAGTGCTTGTGCTTTCTATACAGCATAAAGTCGCCATTCAGATCAAGAAGGAGATTGTAGCAATTGCTCTTCATGAAGAAGTATGCCCTCGTCATGATACAACACTCTGCTCCATTCTTACCACTCAAGTACTCCACCTCATGCGCACTCAGGATCAGCCTCCCGTCCTTCCTTGTTCCAAAGTGGCGGCACCAGTTCTCTGACTGGTTTTCAGGCTCCATCTGTCCGTCAATCGCCCTCACAAGGGACGCCTTCATAGGCACCCCATCCTCCATAGGGCTTCCCTATGCAATAATCTACAGCATGTGCAAAAACACATCGTGTTTCATTCAGAAACTTGTTTACAAAAATATTTATCAAAATAAAACAGGGACGCCATGGAGCTAGACGAAAAAACACTAAGCCTAATTATCTCAAAGATAGGGCCAGGACTAATGGTGTCCATCTCTGCAATAGGAAGCGGGCTGGGGTTTATCTCCGGAACAGAGGGCATATGCAAGGCTGCAGAGCACTCTGTCAACACAACATACTCGCTGATCCCAATCATCTTCATCACAGCACCAACAATGTACTCGGTAATTCTTTACTTCATGGTTTATGATAAGCAAGTCCAAACACTCAGCGACGGACTGCTTATTTTAAGCGCCTGCATAATCAACGGAGTATCTTCAGGCGCAGCTGCTTACTCAATAGGGCACTCTGCAAGGTATGCATGTGTTGTTAGAGCATTGCAACCAAAGTTTCTTACTACATTCTTCCTTGTCTTTATTTTCGGCGAGTTGACAGGCCTTCTTGGACTGGTATGTGCAATGGCAATGTCATCAAACATAGGCAAGACATAACCTCAGAAATAAACAGAATTCTTAAATGGCTTTATTCAGTTACTAATCTGCCGCTCAGGCATACAAGCTTGCATAGCTATCGTTGCACATCAGCTCCTTGGAATCGCTTAGCAATATACTGCACGTGCTTTCATCTCATGCCTTCTTGGCTCGTTTGTCTTTCTTCATTCTCTTGTCTAGCATCACCAGCTTTCCCTTTCCTTTCGGTATCCCACATCCCCTCTTCTTAGAAAACACAATCCTTGGCTTGGCTTTGGTCTTCTTGAACGACGATCGATACACCTTCTTTGCTATCATCCCTTCCTCTTCCGAATCATCAACAACAAGACTCTTCATGAACATCTCTGCTCGCCTTTCTGCACGTGTTTTTCGCCTCATCAGCGCCTCCTTCTCCTTCTTGGTCATTCGAGTCTCATCTGCTTTAGACGGCCTTGAATAGAACATCTCTTGGTCTTCGCGCAAGTAGTTTGGCAGCTTCTCATTTGGATCACGGATGTTTCTGTCAATCGTGTCCTCAATAAATGCATCTGGATTCTCCTTAAGCCTTGCAACACACATCATCTCCTCCTCATCAAGATCAAGACTATCAGAGCAACTGCTGACTTCTACGTCTCTGCTTCTTCCCACTCCATCTGCTTCTTCCTGCATTCCTGTGCTCTCCTTTATCATCCTAAGCTTCTCAAAAACATTGTCGTTCAAAAAACACATCTTGTCCTCTACACACACTTGCATTCTTTTCCTATCTTCTGCTCTTGCCCTCCTCTCCATCTTTGCACGGATCTCCTCAATCTTCTCCTCAACACTCTTCTGCTTCTCCTCAGGCTCCTCTTCTTCATTCTCAACTTTCAAAAACTTCAGCTCCTCAATCTCAACTTCCCCTTCCCTCACCATCCTTACTATGCTCTTTCTTTTCTTCAATATCGCCCGTATATCTCCCTTGCCAAGCACCTTTAGATCCTTAAACAGCTCAGCAGTCTCAGGCTCTAGGATCTTGCCTGATGACTCCTTGCTCAAATCAACTACAATCTCCGAATACTTCTGAAGCATCCCAGACAGGATCTGCGGATTGTCTTCCATGAGAAAGTCTGTAAACTTCAGTTTCTTGCAGAAGTTGAAGTCCTCATATCCCCCCGCTTCCTTTTCTTCCTTGAACACCGCAGACGGCTCAAGCATTCCACAGTCAACACTGTCCTCCCCAACAAACCCCATGCATACCAAAAATATCTCTGCACTCTGCGACCTCGAACTCAGAGGCTTGGATGTCTCAACAACACTGAACAGTCGAGACATCACATCCAGCAGCGAAAAGTAGTCCTGAGAGCGGAAAATCTTCGTTACAAACACTCCGTCTTTCTTCAGAAACTCGCTTGCTAGCTTTATTGAGTGCAGCACAAGCAGATTCTGATTGAATGCATCGTTCTCCCAAGAAGTGCCCACATTCGGTGCTCCATCGTTCAGAACCACATCTGCCTTGTGATTTCCAAGAATCATCTTCAGCTCTGACCTGCACTGCTCACCAGTTATGTCTGCAACCACAGTCTCGACATCCCCAATAAACTTTATTGGCTCAATATCCACTGCAATGATCTTCTTGCGCAGCGGCATCTCCTGTGCTGCCACCTGCGACCACGACCCCGGTGCAGCACATAGATCGATCAAGATGTGTGCATTCTCCAAGAACCCATACTTCCTGTTCATTTGGATCAGCTTGAACGCAGATCGTGCTCTGTATCCCTTTTCCTTTGCAAGAGTGTAGTACTTGTCGAGTCTTGCTTTTCCAATCTGATTGCTCTTCCCCATCAGTAAAAAATTGCAGTGGGCTTTATGAACAAATTGTTGTTTCCAAACTTGCTGCTGCAACCCCATTTATGCTATGATCGACATAATCAGGACAGCAAATGACACATACTACCGATACAAGATGCCCAGGGCAATCGTGAAGCACGAGGGAAAGCCGGGAAACACAAAGACATTTGTGATGAACCTCGAAGAGATAGCTGCATCGCTCAAGAGGCTGCCGATACACATTTTGAAGTTTGTGAGCTATGAGCTAGCAACAAGGACAGATGTTGCAGCAGGGAGATATGCAATAACGGGAAAATACGAGACATCAAGAATTCAGGAGCTTATATATACATACATAGATGCGTTTGTTGTATGTCCACTATGCAGCAATCCAGAAACATTTTATGTTGAGAAAAGTGGACTGTCGATGGAGTGTCTTGCATGTGGAAGACAGTCTGTGCTGAAAGCATCAAAGATGAGCGGAATGATCCTCAAGGACATTGACAAAAGCTGTGGTGTGCAGGACGAGATATACTCGAGAACAGCTGAAGATAAGCAGAATGGCTATGAAGATGAAATCAGAGCTATGGCTAGCTCTGGAGATGACAGATCGTCTGATGCAATTGAACTGCTTAGAAGAAGCGGATTTGATGATTGCCAGGCAGTGAAGGAACTTCTCAGGATAGACGAATGCATTCTCAAGAGTTTTAGATCGCTATGCTCGTGTGTTGCACCAAAGACTGTTCTTCAGTCGATTGAGGAGTTTGTTGAGGAACAGAGTGGAGAGAAGAAGAGAATCCAAGTGTATCTCAAGACTCTTGAGGCACAGGAGATGTTCAAACGCAATGAACTTTCCAGATACTTCACAAGGCCGCAAGGTGCAAGGAAGCGATCGCCATCGTTCAAGAAGGAGGTGAACGAGTACTTTCTGGCCAGTAGTCAATAAATCGAGAGATCTATTTGTTTTATGCATAAGGGGCTTTGATGTGATGAGCCATTTTTTAACCCTGTAGTGATGAGTGACTGTAGCAAGCAAAAGGTGTATCTCACAGATATAAACAGGGAGCCAAACACAGGCGGCAGGAAGCAGGCCAGGATAGAGCTGCGCCTGCTAAAAGAAGCATGCTCGCTTAAAATTGAGCCTGATGTGCTGCCGAAGGAAGAAAATGTTGCGCCAGACACCAATCTGTTTCGTGTGACTGCATATTGCACGGCAGACAACTATGATCTCAAGAATCTGTACAAGTATCTGAAGAAGAACTCGCTGTGCAGCAAGGTTTCTATGTATTTCGGGGAATGCCTATACACAAGAATGAGCTTTGGAGGAGAGGGAGACGAAGGGCAGGACTGCTTTTTCTACGAATACGGAGTGGTTGTTTGCTGGGGAATGGATGCAAACCAGGAATCGATGATAGTGAAGCTTGTGTCGAAGCACGAGGAGAATCCTTACGAGGCATCGGACATTGAGGTTGAGTCGTTCAAGTATGGAATAACCGAGAACCCGTTTATTATTAATGACATAATATACCTGAACTCTGAGAACCACTTCAGCAAGATGGTGGTTTCGATTGCGATTGCACAGAGTGTGAAGCTTGACTACTTTGAGAATCTTGTCGATAACACGATTGAGGCTGTGAAGGAGTTTCCTGAGGAGATGGAGCGCGAAGGAAAGGTCAGTAGGAATAGAAGGGAGATACTGAAGATGATTGGGAAGCTGCATCGGCTCAGGTTCAACCTGAATCTTGGGTCGAACATTCTCGACGAGCCTGAGTTTGTATGGGACTATCCGGCGTTTTCTCCACTGTACGAGACATGCAAGAGATATCTTGACATCAAGCACAGAGCAGATCTGCTAAACAGAAGATGTGATGTGATAAACGGAATCCTGGAGATCCTGAGTGAAAACACAAACAGAAGCAATGTCGAGAAGTTTGAGGTTGTTCTTATCGTGATAGTTCTTAGCAATGTGCTATTGATTGCATTGCTAATGGTATTGATGTACTATATCAGATTGAAATGGTGAATAATGCATATTTATTAGACGCATCAGGTGTGCTAAATGGTCTTGGCAAATCTGTACCGATCTCCGATCAATTCATTTAATGCATTTCACATCAGCTCTTGCATGCCACAATAAATTAGGTTAACTCAACGTTCAATCATCTTATTTTGATTTCATGATCGTAATCAGTGCCAAAATGCTGCAAATCACATGCCTGCATTTCATATCCTGCCTGCCTAGCTGAAGATTTTACAGAGCTTGTATCAAATATCCATCTATGGCTGTTGCCTGTGCCTGCTGTGCATTTAATGCATGGCCTAACAATGTGATATCCAAGCACCATGCGGCAACACTTGCACCTTATATCCGCCACAATGCACTTGCACATGTATGCCATGTATCCATTCCTAGCAGACTGCACACACTCCGTGGGATTGCTGCCTGAGTATATTTTGATTTTGGTGTTCAGCAAAAGCATCGATCTTCTTGCCCTACGGCACACAATGCTTAAGCATCCAAAGCACCTGATCACATACTCCGTGTCACCACAATCCATTTTCTTACTTTGCTCATGCATCTAAGCCTTTTATTCGTTATCGCACACCATATTTTATTGCCTTTCGCATATCCTTATTCATCATCCATAGGCATAATTGAAAATCCGAAGTTCAATGCAATTCGTGAAAACGCCGCTTCTCTCCACCATGCCTCGACATTCTTGACTGCTGCAATCGGAACACGCTCCTGCCTCACACTTACCTTGCTAATCCCATCTTTTGATTCAATATGCACAGAAACATCGGAAAACATGCTCCATCCATCAAACTTCCAATTCATTGTAACACACATTGCTCCATCATGCTGCTTCGCAGTTTTAACATTCTGTATAGTCACATTCACAATCTGCACCTTGCTGCCGTCAAGCCTTACATCTGTACCCCACACAGAAACATACTGCTTGTCAGACAGAAACGCACAAATCTCCTCAGCTTCGCAGTTCATCCTTGTCACATACATCATCCTCTTAGTCTTCGCCTCAGGCGTATTTGTATTTATACATTCACTTTTTTTGTTTGCACTTTCTCCTTCAATGCATCCATCCTTCTGCATTCCACTTCCATCAACTACAACTTGCTTCTTGCATTCATCACCGACAACATTGCTCCCATACTTCAGGACTGCCTCAGCTTCAATTTCGGCAAAGAAATCTGAAAACCACTCAAACTTCTCTATTCCTTCCGCACCCTCATATATACTGCGGAATCCTTTCACTCCACAGCTTAATCCATCATTAACACATTCAAAGCTCACCATATACACCATCCTGATTGTTGTGCCTTGCCTGTGTATCTTGACATCTACATCCATCTCGTTAACACAGTATCCTTTTATATCAAGCATGCTTTTTATCTTCTCTGCTGTCCATTCAGATATATCGACCTCTGCTATACAGCATTCATTAGTGCTTGCATCCATTAGGGTGTTTGGCAGATGTCTTTAAGCTGCTACAAAAATATCTTGCATACCATTTTTGCTAACACCTACATGAATTGATCAGCAACCATCCTAGGCACTTGAATCTCCAAGTATCCTTCTGTGTGGTTCTTGAGTAAAAACTGGACTGATAGTATGCTTGAGCTGAATGTCAGCATTACACTCTCCGAATGCTCCTCAAAAGCATCAAGAAGGTCAGTCCAGTCATTGTTGCACTTGAACTTCAGGTCTCCATTCACTAGAAATTCTGTATGGATAATCTCAACCTCATCAATGCCATCACATGTGTTCTTCTTGACAATCAGCCTGCTCTGTGCCGCTTCATACACAACTATGCCTCTTAGCATGCCAAGCTTCACAGCAATCCTTGGCGCCAACACACACTTTGTAACAGGCACTCCCACGTCTTCGTATTCAGTTCCTACTGTGGAAATAAACGGAATCATTATAGTGCTTTTGAGATCTGTCAGCTTCATGCAGTCAGCAACTAGTATATCATACACGTCTAGCAGCAAAACACCTTCAAATAGATGAGACGGATTCACACTAAACACAAGATGATCCGAATCGGTTGGAATGCCAGACACCTCCGCATCAATTGCCAAATAGAAGCTGCACTGTCCATGTGAGAATCCATGGGACGACACGATCACCTTACTGTGCATTGCATCAATTGTGATTTCCTTCCTGCATGATACGGGCTTCAATGCAGCCTTGAACAATCTCTTGTCATTCACAATAATTCTCATTGAATGGCTTCGCAATTAAAACGAGTCGAATTAAGCATGCCATGGTTTCGGCAAGCACTTGGCCTGATGCATCAAACGCATGTCAATCAAAACATTTGCATAAATAAAAATATTTGTGATGCATAGACCAATGTGCGGAATATTTGGATACGCAGGCTTCGCCACAGAAACGAGCAAGAAACGAATTGCAGACATTCTGGTGAATGGACTAAAGCGTATAGAGTATCGCGGATACGATTCGGCTGGGATTTGCATCACAGACGACTCAGACATCCAGTTTGTAAGGATCAGAACAGTTGGAAAGGTTGAATGCCTGGCTAAGGCAGTGCATATGCAATCTAATGTTGACCTAAGCAGGAATGTAAAAATGTATGCAGGGATTGCACATACAAGATGGGCAACACATGGGCAGCCATCCCTTGAGAACAGCCATCCCTTGAGCAGCGATAAGGACAATCACTTTCTTGTTGTCCACAATGGAATTATAACAAACTACAAGCAGATCAGGGCGAGCCTTGAGAAGAAAGGATTTGTTTTTGAGTCCAGTACGGATACGGAATGTGCAGCCAAGCTTGCAATGGACACGTATATGCAGATGAAGAAAGAAAACGAAAGTGTTAAGTTTGTTGATGTGATCAAGAATGTTGTGAGGCAGTGCGATGGTGCATTTGCATTTGTGTTTGTATCTTCGTGCTTTCCAAACGAAATGGTTATTGTTAGGAAGTCATCGCCTGTTCTCATTGGGTTGAAGCCAGCAGAAGACGTGATTCCAAAGTCAATAAGAGTCGTTCATGATGCATATGAAGATGTGCAATTGGGAAACGCAATGCCTTTGGAGGTGTTTGTTTCATCTGATGCATGTGCCTTGGTGGAGCATACAAGAAACATTGTATATCTGGAAGACGGTGACATAGCACATGTTTCGAATGGAAATGTGTTGGTACACAGGCTAATTGCCAAAGAAAACGACACAACAGCAGGAACAAGAGAAGTAAAAGCAATAAATATGGAATTAAGCTCGATAATGAAGGGAGAATATGATCACTACATGATCAAGGAAATCAACGAGCAAAAGGATTCGGTTATCAGGACAATGGCAGGCAGAATCGACTTTGACGCGCATAGTGTTTTTTTGGAAGGGCTGAAGGATTACATCGATGCCATCCGAAGCTCTCAAAGGATTGTTTTTATAGCATGCGGAACTAGCTATTATGCCTGTCTTTCCTGCAGAGCACTCTTTGAGGAATTAACGGGCGTGCCTGTTGCAATTGAAATGGCTACTGATTTTATCGACAGAAGGCCGCCTGTATCAAGCAAGGATGCAGTATTGATTGTATCTCAGAGCGGAGAAACCGCGGATAGTGCAATGGCAATGAGATACTGCCTACAGAAAGATGCATTGTGCATAGGCATAACAAACACGATTGGAAGCGCAATTTCAAGGGAAACAGCATGTGGAGTGCACATCAATGCTGGCCCTGAAATCGGTGTTGCCAGTACCAAGGCATACACCTCTCAGTGCATTACATTGGTGTTGATTGCATTACAGCTCAGTGAAGGCAATACTTCGCATACAAACAGAAGAAATGAGATTATTGAAGGGCTTAGGAACATTAGCTCACAAATAGACAAAGTATTGCTGCTTAATGAATCTGTAAGACTGATTGCTAACGGAAAAATCAAAGACTGCAGGAGCCTACTGGTTATTGGCAGGGGATATCAATATCCAACATGCCTAGAAGGCGCACTGAAAATCAAGGAAATCACATATATTCACTCAGAAGGCTTGGCTGCCGGTGAGCTTAAACACGGGCCGATCGCACTTGTTGATGATGAGCTTGAGTTGATATTCATCGCAGCAAACGATTCAAATTATGATAAGGCTAGAAATGCAATGGAGCAGATTCGTGCAAGAAACGGGAATCCAATGGTGATATGCACAGAGGATGTCGCCAGTGACTATTCCATGCACCAAGTGCTTGCAATACCGAAAACTGTTGACTGTCTTCAAGGAGTGCTAGCAATCATCCCGTTGCAGCTGCTGTCGTATCATCTTGCTGTAGCAAAGGGGCATGATCCAGACTTTCCTAGAAGCCTGGCAAAGTCAGTGACGGTTGAATAATCCAGAATATAGCACTCATGATAAATCTGTCAATAAACTGATTCGCGAATCTAGGTAAGAAATTCTGTTTTCTATAGCTGCTTCTATAAATATTGCAACGGGCTACTATTACATATGCTTTTATTCATGGTACTGCTATTCATGCTCAATATCTGAAATCATCAAGCATATACTGTGGAATGGAAAATACAACGCCCATGCCTGAACTAAATTGCTTCAAAGAACTTTCTTTTGAGAAGCTCGTCTGCAGAGCATCTTCTGTGTGGTGAAAACACAAATGTGCGCTCGAACACATCCAGAATATCTTCATCATCAAAATAGTCTTCTAGGTATCTTCTGACGCCTCTACATCCTTTGGAGCTCAGTATAAGGTCATGGCATCCAAGTTCAGCAAGCTCGTCCTCGGTAGCCTTGACTATCTCAAGAATTTTATTGAGCGTTGATCTGCTTGTATCCCCTTTGAATATTGGCTCGGGATGCCTAAACTCAACCATTACACACCCAACAGACCACACGTCCATCTTGAAATCGTATTCTTTGTAATCAAGTAGGTTTTCAGGTGCTCGATAGAACCTGGAGCATATGTATGTCACGTTGTTCTCTCCATTCTTGATTACTTTGGCACTTCCAAGATCGCATATCTTGACAAGCCCATCATGGCCGATAAGAATGTTTGATGGCTTGATATCCCTGTGGCAAATGCTTTTTCCATGCAGGTACTGCAGTCCCTCTAAAATCTGCTTATATATTGATCCTATAGTTCTTGTATCCAAGCATTTTGCAGCCGAGATGTATTCCTCAAGGCTCATGTCAACAAAGTCTGTGATAATGTTTAGATACATTCCTGAAGAAGACTTGTCCGTGTAGAAATACGACACAAGGCTTATGATGTTTGGATGATCCATATTCATTAGAATGCTGAGCTCTCTGTTGTGATACCTCCTGTCTTGATAAACCCTCTTCAGCGCAAAGAAGTTGTTGTTGTCATCGGCTATCTTGACAACAACGCCAAAAGATCCTTTACCCGTAACATCGACATATCTATATGCCATTTCCTTACGTTCGCCGTCTCTCAACTGGATGGATGCCCTGTGCATCTTTATCCATTCTCTTTCTAATAGCTTTATTGACTCTGCAAGCTTTCTCTGTGACAATGTTGCCATGTGGGGAGATACAAACTAGCCCTTGAATAACATGTGCAGTACATCAGCCCATTGGAATGAAAACCTTGCGCTACTGATTGACGAAGATGCATAGATGCTACACTCAAATAAATTGATTCAGATGCCAGATGCATGCGTGTTTCTAGGGTGTTGCATCGAATATAAAACAAAACACCGGATTTCTGCACATTGCATTGCAAAACAAATGATATTTGTAAGCACATTTATGTATGTGCTCTATGCAAGCACTGCATTTGCCATTTCATCTTCTATCAAGTCTGCTCCGTCCTCAGGAATGTCATATACCACAGTGATAGATGCTGGCTCAACAGGAACAAGATTGGAAGTGTATGGGTTTGTGGGGCAAGAAATCAGGCACCAAGGACTATTTACAAACACGCCCGGGATTGCAGACATGAAGGAAGACAGCCAAATAAAACAGTCGGTGACAGAATTGCTTATGCATGCTGAGCCATTCTACAATGATATCAAGACCATGCCTATGGGATTTTATGGAACAGCTGGGTTCCGAGCACTGGGTGCTCCACGCACAGATCATATTCTTGAGCTCGTCAGGAATGAATTGAGTGGATACAACCTTAAAGAAGCAAAGGTGGTCAGCGGAGAGGAGGAAGGCAGGCTTGCACTGATGTCGTTGATAATCTCAAGCAAAGAGATTGGAAACAGCAGTAATAAGACCGTTGGTGTCATAGACATGGGCGGGGGAAGCACACAAGTGTCAGTGCTGAAAAACAACGGGGAAATCAGTTCAGAATCAATCAGCCTTGGCATAACAGCCATCAGCAATGCGCATGACATGGAAGACTGTGCAATCAGCAGCCAGGAGAAGCAGGAGTCCTGTGCACAAAAAATCATTACAAAGCTCTTGAGTGTGCAAAGCAAGCCGATCCTCAATGACATCGACGACCTGTATCTGCTTTCATACTTCCATGATGAGTTTGCCAAAATTGTCAGAAGCACAGAAACAAACATGAGGGAAATAAAAGACCAGTTCTACAAGAAATGCAGTCTCTTGGAAACAACAGACTGTAGAAACATCTTCTATCTGATCTCATTCATCAATGCCCTTGGCATCAACGATCTCAAAAGTATCAAGAAAATAGATACAAATAACGGTATCAACATTTCCTGGGCATCAGCAAAAGGCTATGAGCTCAACAAAATACACAATAAATAAAACCGCATCAATTAGCTATACTCAGAAACTCCGCCCAGTAATCATTTCGATATTAAACTTTCTTTATTCTCCAGCAAGTGAGCTCAGCATACTTACAGCCGTAAATACAAATCCAATCTGCAGCGCATACATCAGAATATCAAATATAAAGCTATCTCTACTGTTTCCAAAATGATGATTCTTCAGCATTGATGTCTTTAGTGAAAACTGCGATATCGATGCCAAAATGATTAGACAAATAAACCTCAGTATGCTTGTCTGCTTCACAAGCGTAAATACAACCAGTGCATACGGAAGATGAATCACAGAAAGCCCAACTACATAAACATAGCCTGCATATGATGCATCGTCCATCATCCTCCCCAACGCCTTCTTATACACAAATCCTGCAACAAAGCAAAAACCCATCAGTATCATAAACGTCCATATGCCAACCTCAAAGGCTATCGATCCAGAGCCTCCAGGAGACGACTTCATGGCCATCATGATAATCCACATAAACACACTCGTCTTTACAGATGTAATCAACGAGCAAAAAATACTCGGCAGCATGTAGTCAATAGGCTCATTCATATTTATCGGATACAGTCTCAGCGCATTCAAATAGTCTCCAATAATGCTGTATGAAGACTCACTTCTATTAAGCGCATCAAATATCTTTTGAGCGCTTGAGCTTCCTGTCGAAGATCTAACTACCATTACAGGGATGTTTCTGATTTTTATTTATAATCCTCCTCTGAAACAAACATAAAGCAATCACTCATTCAACGTCTACCTCTTGATTTCCTTCAGCACAGACCATCTTTTAAACCTTTCCAGCTCATTCACAACCTCTCTATCCATAAATCCCTCCAAATCATCAATCGACAGCGGCCCAAGTGCTCGTATTCTTCCAATCACCCTATGCCTGCTTGGAACCATACTATCGCCTCTTGCAAGCGCCGCTCTGAATAGGCCGCACAGGTCCTTTTCCACTATGATCTCATCAATGCTAGGCATTCTAGGGGTGTCTGCCTTCTAAATCCATCATATCTTTCTTCCATTGCCTATGCACATGCCTACCCAACTATACACAACACAATCAAACATTTATTCAATCTGAGGCATACAAAAACTCAACAAGCTCATCAATAGTGGCCTCATCATTCCTATCAAACGAAAAAACTTTCAAAAACTCTCGTATCTCCTCTTCACTCAACCTATCTCCCATCCCAAGATACTTCACCATGTCTTGTTTTGTAACATGTGTTCTATGATTAAACTGCGAAATCATCCTCCTCATCTCCTCTTTCTGCATACATGGCCTGACACCTGCTGCAACTTCCTCAAACTCCCCAAAGCTTCTTGGAACAGGCACAGTCATCTCTTGTGGTGCATATCCACATAGTCTTAACAGCTCAAGCGTTGTCTCATTCGTAAGATCCTTGCCTCCAAAATTCTCCCATTGCTCCTGCATCTTTTCTCTGTTCATTCTCCAAGGGCCTACAACAAACACAAACTACCCCATACTCTTCGCATCCCTCATCACCCGCTTATTAATCAGCTCATCATTATCATTCATCACTAGATATCTCATATCCTGCTATAGCTACATATTTCGCATTCACAATACTATGAGCATTGTAAACCCACTCTCCAGGCACATTCATACGCATGATGCAAGCTCATTCATGCAAGTCGTGCGAAAGCCTGTCCAAAAAAAGAATCATCCGGCTGTTAAACTCATCGTCCACAGACTCCCCAAAATACTCTCCGCACTCTCTGTGCAGCCGCACTACATCCTCATACATCAGGCACACCGTGTCGTATCTTGGCTGAATCTCATCCATCTTCTCCTGTATCCTTACAAAAGATGATCCGTTTGCATTGATATAGTTCTTCTTTAACTCATCAATTTCTACACACAACGCCTCAAAATTCATCTTGCTTGCTTCATACACAATGCATAGCTCACTCACCAGCCTTCGCACATCAATCCTTCTCTCAATAAACCTAATAAGACTTGCTTCATTGTTCTTCGCTTCAAGAATCGTTGGAATCGAGTCCATGGTAAATCCTTCGGCATTCCCTAGAAAACTCCCCATGTTCAGGTAGTTTCCTACTGCAAGCGCAACCCCTAAAAACCTTCGCAGCTCATTACTTCGCAATAACACTCCATAATACTCTCTAAGAACATTCAACGTGTGCATCAGGCACTGATCCTTAAACGATATTGCAAAGTATAAATAATACAGGCATCTCTTCATCATCTCAATCTCATCAATGCATTCTTTGAAAAACTCTTCTCCACGCCCAAACAAATGATCCACCGCCTGTAACTGCTCAACCTCCTCATCCGTAGGAAAATAGAACAGAAGCTGCTTCACAAGATTCTCATCAAAATCATCTCGCATCTCAATAATCGCCTGCTTAAGCTCGTAATTGCTTACCTTTACCCTTCCAAGCGCAATGTTTATTGCATAGCTCTTCTTCTCAGAAAACACACTCGGCCTCTTGCTATCCAATCTTACACTGCTTGCTTTAGGCTTCTCCTCCTTCACCTCAAATACTTCAAAATCATTTGCACTGAAAAGCCCTTCAATCTCCCTCATGCTTATCTTACTCCACAGACTGTTTCCCTTCCCTATCTTCTTCCATTTCACAGGCATGTATTTCTTACTAGGCATTGCACTCTTCACCACCTTCTTGATTATCTTCTTGGGCTTTGCTTTCACTAGCTCCACTGCTGCACCTTCATCACCATCTATGCACTGCTCTTTAGCCTTCTCTTCAAGCACACACTTCGCCGGCTCTTGACTCCGTACTTCAACATTCTTAAACGCCTCTCTGCCTCCAAACACAAACGCCTCTGCAACACAGCACACAACATCCAGGAGGCCTTGAATCTCGGCTATCCTCAGCACCTCCTCTATTCTGTCCTTACGAAAGTCGCCTGCCATGCTGCATCGGATCTCCTTCGCAATCTCATCATAAATCTCTCGGCACACAACCCTTTGCTCTAGCTGATGGAATCCTGAAACAAAAAGAATATACTTCACATGCACAGACTTAGCAGACCTCAATAGTGGAACGAGAAAGTTCAGCTCATCAACAACTCGCGGAATTCTCATCACATGCTCAATTATTCTGGATAAATACGTGTTGCATATGCATCTGTTGAAATCAATGCTGTAAAATAGCTCCTCGGCTTTTCCCTCATTCACCAAAAACTCAAGTATCTTGAAAAACGCCTTTGTATCCTGAATCTTCCCACAGATAAATCTATCGAGCAATGGCCTCAGAAACGGGGGAAAGTAGTTTCCATACTTCGACAGTATCATGCTCAGAGTGTCGCAGATCGCATCGCTGAACTCATCGTCCATCCTCCTCATGCACCTCACAAGCACATCGTGCCCTCCTTCGGCTGTAAATATCTCATACAAGACATTTGGCCCGCTTTCAAGAGAGCAGGACAAGCTCAATAAATTCAATACACTGTTTCTGTCGCTAAGCTTAACAACATACTCCTTAATCTTTCTCTTCCTCTCGTCCATCGTCTGCATAGAGGTGATCGTCTTGATCTTTTTCGAAAGATTCAGCTTTGCTGCCAGCTTATGCTGCTTTTCCTCATCTATCCCCATGTCCTCCATTATGTTTCTGAACTGTATGTTAATGTGCTCCAGCGACTTCGACTTCCACGACTCCATGGGCAATCTATTTTGCCGAGTGTTATCGATGCATAATATATCAATTGCTTGGCACACTCTTCAATGCATGTTTACTAATGTTCGTCCTTTCCACATTGCTGCACATCATCAAAACATACAGGCATTGTTATTACGTAACAAGAAGATGGCTTGCACTCATACCCTTAACAAGCCATGGGAAAGCACAGGGATCGAGGCATACACGAGAAGAAAAACCCCCATATTGAGTTTACAAGCGAAGCAGCTCCCACATGCCAGCAAGAAGTTGCTTTTGATCCAAATGCCACTGCATCAAATGGGCCTACAATTTATGAGTGCGGGAATGAATATGATTTGCCATTCCATGAGGATTCAGCCCCATACATATCAGAAATGCCTCCTGAAATCGAAAAGAAAACAGGCATCATGAAGCAATTCCTCTCAGGGATCGAAATGTTATTTTCAGTAATCAGGTCTGCATTCAGAAGCACAATTACATGGATTTCAAAAAGAATCGCATCGTCTTCGTCTATTGGCGAACAGGTTTAGTCTCAAGTACAGCCATTGAATTAAATTCCATAAATATCGTTTATTCTATTCAATACCAAGAAACAGCAATCAGCAATCAGCACATGATATGCACAATCACACTCTTAACAGCTATGCACCAAGTTGCTTCATAAGCATTGTCTTACTGAGCTCTATCTTGTATTCAGAAGCATAATCTGCAAAAAACAAACATCACACAAGCACATACTCCAATTGATATCCAATAAACAGGCATTCCTACATTCCGTTTCGTATACTTGCATGTTTGCTCTATTTCTCTTCTTAGGTCATCCAGTAGCATCGCACAAATCTCAGAGTCTTCTGTATTCATGCATACCTTGTATTGCCTAGCAACGGCAATCGTCTTCTTACATTGCTTAATCCCATTCTTCATTCTTGACGCAATCTCATGTGCAGAAAGGCTTCGCTCCTCAAACACATCCATATCCGATAGTATACTCGAATCCCCAAAATAATCTGCTCTTAATGAATATCTTTGCAGCATCTCCCTGACCTTGGCTACTGAGTCCTCCTCCGCCATCCCAGGGGACTCCTGAGCTCAGCCATTATTGCATTCAAATTAAGCTATGCACACAAGATTCCACAGCTGCATCCATATGGCATTCAGATACATGCAGCTCATATCATTCACATATGCATGGCACCATAATACTGCATCCTCAAAACCTATTCCACTCACTATTTAATGGATCAATAAATTTAATACTCATCAGTGGGCTCTGCATTCGAAGATATCCTTTGATAGTCATCCTCAAGCATTGCCAGATCTTCCCTGGCTTCACTGAACTCCCCTTCTTCCATTCCCTCCCCAACATACCAGTGCACAAACGCCCTCTTCGAAAACATAAGATCAAACTTGTTGTTCAATCTCTTCCATGCCTCAGAAATCGCCGTCGTGTTGGACAATGCACACACAGCCCTCGACACTTCCGCCATCGCCTCTCCGTCAAGCACAGTCGGCTTCCTACTGTTTATCCCCACCTTAAACCCTGTAGGACACCACTCCACAAACTGATTCGTCCTCTTCGCCTTCACATTCGCAGTTGCACTGTTCGCTTCCTTTGGATTCACTTCTCCTCGGAATAGCAGGCAGCACGCCATGTACTTTCCCTTCTTCGTGTCGCATCGCACCATCTGGTTCTGCGGCTCAAAACATGCATTCGTAATCTCATGAACACTCAGCTTCTCATGTGCTGCCTTCTCCCGCGACAGCATCGGCGAGTACGCAACAAGCGGAAAGTGAATCCGCGGATACGGCACCAGATTCGTCTGGAACTCCGTCAAATCAACATTCAGTGACCCAGGAAACCGCAGTGACGCAGTTATCGACGACACAACCTGTGCAATAATCCTGTTGATGTCCGTGTAGTACGGCCTCTGTATCCCCAGGTTCCTGCACATGTCATATATCGCCTCGTTGTCAACAAGAAACGAGCAGTCGGAGTGATCAAGCGTCGTGTGCGTCGTCAATATGCTGTTGTATGGCTCAACCACCGCCGTCGCTATCTTCGGCGCAGGGTACACACTAAACTCAAGCTTGCTCTTCTTCCCATACTCTGCTGCCAGCCTGTCCATCATCAGCGACGCAAACCCTGATCCTGTTCCTCCTCCAAAGCTGTGGTATATCAAAAACCCTTGCAATCCATCGCAATTGTCCGCCATCCTTCGTATCTGCTCCATTGCAGGCTCAATAATCTCCTTTCCAACCGTGTAGTGCCCTCGTGCATAGTTGTTTGCTGCATCCTCCTTTCCAGATATCAACTGCCCCGGATGGTACAGATCGCGGTACCTCCCGCTCTTGATGCTTTCAAGCACTCCAGGCTCAAGATCAACCATCAGCGTCCTGGGCACATACGTTCCAACACTCGTCTGCGAAAAAAAAGACTCCGCACTCTCGTCATCCATCCGGTTCTCCCCAAGCCGTCCGTCAGGCATTATCCCATGCTCCATACAGAATAACTCCCAGCATGCATTCCCAATCTGGACTCCCGCTTGCCCAACATGCAGTGATATTATTTCTCTCATCTTCTTGGGGCTTTCCGAAACAAAATTTTATATTAACCTTATCCACAGGTTTTGCCTTACTCAATCCTCCTCCATCCCACACATTGGCACATCCCATCATTCAAGCACAACCTCAGCCCACTCATTCAACCATCAATACATATCTACTCCATCGCTTTTATTCCAGTCGTTTCATTCAGTCCCTCTCACATCCTCCTTTCCTTCGTAATGCTTTCAAGCTTGTTTCGGAGCATCAGGTATGTTACCAATATCTCATCAGCAAACTCCCTGCTGCCTTCACTCTTCTTGTACAGCATCACTTCCTCCTTCAATTCCTCAAACATCCTCTTCAGATTCTCTCCAATGTATTTAAAATCAACCTCCTCCTTTCCCCCCGCGTACATCCTCTTCAGCTTCTCTGCACTCTCAACAATCATGCTAAAATTTTTCTTGAGATTCAGTGTCTGCAGGTCCTGTGTTTGTGAATACAGACTCCCAAACTTCATTGGCTTCAGCATCTCCGTTGACGTATACTGCTGATGTGAGCTTCTATGTATGTTGATCAGCTTCTGCTTTATATGCGCAGGAAGCTCATTAAACCTCGTCTCCTTAGTCACAGGCACCATCAATATACAAGGGCTCGTTCACTCTCCCGCAATCATGGTTCATATCCAAAAAATTCATAATTCTTCTGCATGCCTCCTCTGCACATTCCCTCCACCTTACAATCTCTCCAAGCATCTGTCTGTAGGCCTTGCATCCTTTCTTTCCTGCCATCAGATTCATCATTGGCTGCACATCCCAGATCCTCATTTCCTTTTCCTTTCCATACCAGTCAAAGTATCGCCCTATCACATCATGCATCATATTCTTCTTTGCATTGCTATCTATCAGCTCTTGCTCTTTACAATTATCACCAGATCCAGCGTCTACTATAATCCCATCAGTACTGCTTTCTCCGCCTATAAATCCATCCCTCCCTATCTTCCTGTCAATCTCCCAAAATACAAAAATGTTCTTCATGCTCTCCCTGCCAATCATCAATCCATCAAGGTTGCACAGTTTGTCTAATCCATCTGCATCAATACACCCATTCAGCACTATCTTCAGATCTGGATGCAGCTGCTTGATTGCATACACACTTCCGTAGTCAAGAGCCGGCACATGTCTGTTTTGCTTTGGAGAAAGCCCAGAAAGCCAACACTTCCTGGCATGCACATAAAAACTTCTACATGCAGTGCTCATCTTCACATACGTGACAAAATCATCGAGAAACCCAATTCCGTCATGCTCATCAACTCCTGTTCGAATCTTTAGGCTTAAAATCACTCCTGTATCGCAATGAACCCTGTTTATAATCTCTGCCACCAACTGCTTCCTGAGCATAAGAATCGCCCCAAAACATCCTTTCTTGACCCTTGGGCTTGGGCATCCACAGTTCAGATTGAATTCCTTATATCCAAGCCGTTGAAGAATCTTGACTGCCTCAACGATCTCAGACGCATTGCTCCCACCAATCTGCACAACAGTCCTCGCATCGTACTCCCCAACCATCTCCAGCAGCTTTTCACGTGCTACATGGACAACCGTGCTGCACACAATCATCTCAGTAAACAGAACAGTGCTTTTGGACGTCATCCTGACTAGCCTTCTGAACTGCGGTGTCGTTACATCCATCATTGGCGCAAGGCTAATCTCAATGTCTTCGCTCATGGGCTTGCAAACAGCCATGCTCATCAACAGTCCCGAATCGATAATCGATTATCGGTAGAAATCAATCTGGCACACACTCAATCGCAAGGTAAATTCCCTCCAAAACACGCAAAATAACACATAAATAATCGATGGCTCCAATCCTAATGGAAAGACAAAGTGCCACTAATACAAAAAAATGCATCAGAAAGCTCACGTCAGTAGATGTCCTGATAAAGAGAAGGATATCCTGCACGCCAGCCCTAAAAGTGCAGGCAAAGAAGCTCAAAAGCACAATCACCACCTCAAAACGAATAGAAACACCAAAAAGAATCATTAGGATCCTGTCGCCAGCCAGTAGAGTAGAAATCTCAAGCAGCTCGAAATCAAAAAAATACGAATCTGTAAGGAAAATAGACTTCAGCTAAATCATGTATCAAGGGGCTTGTAACATAATAAACAGTAATGCATCTAAGTATATTCTTTACTGCCCTAAGCTTTCATCAGGCGTCTTCATTGATTTACTACATGCTAGCAACTAAATCTGCATACCAAACAGGCTTTTCCTGCAGGGTAAGCATGAAAAGCGATATCCCGATTGAGTTCAGCCTTCGAAACATCTTGTAGATATCACTTGTAATAACCAGAGTAGATGGGCTCAACAACAGTATGTCTCGCTTCTCATGCACAAGTCCTTTTAGAATCTGCAACAGATCAGCCTCATTAGTACATGTAATACTTCCCTCAAGCTTCATCCCATATGTCTGTATCACTACCGCGTCTCGAAACATATCCAATGCTGCCCTGTTGCTGTATCTTATCTGATAAATCTTTCCAAACACCGGCTGCTTCCCAACTCTGATCATAGGCTTTACAAGCTGGGTAACTCTAAACAAGCCCATTTCTCTTAAGATCCTCATATGTTCTTTTATCAAACACATTTCCTTCACAATCCTCAAATTCCTGTCCATACTCTAACACCTCTCTCTGCTCTTCAGATGCTACTCTGGCCTTCATACGCATCAATGCATCCACTCGTGATATTCCCCAATACAGCTTACTGTATGACTCAACTCCATACCTTTTCATCCCTTTGAAATGGCATTCAGATCCAAAATGCTGATCAAAGCCTTGCCATCCACGGCAAGCATACTCACACACCTCACACTCAAACTCAACATCAAGATCTTTCTTCTTGTAAAGCCATCTGGGAACCTCTCGCTTCTTACGCCTTTCTTTCTTTGTAGCAGATGCAATGCTACGATTCAACTCCTTGTCTACTTGCAAAAGCATCTTCTTCAGTCCGTCTTTTACCGGCACAATCAGCCTTGAACAGTACACAACTGTTCTTCCTGCTAGCCTCATATGCTTGTGCCCATTTACATGATACCTGAACACATTTACACATACTTCTCTGCTGCATCCAACGCAATATACTCTTGGATACATCTCATTGCCTCCATTCTCAACTCCTTCATCCAGCCTCTTAATAAAATCATCAATGCTGCTTTCATTCAAAACATTCAATTCGCACATCTTCCTAACCCGTTTGAACCTTCGGTAATGCCTTACCTTCATAACACTCAAAACATATCTCTGTAGCTCATCCAGGTATCTCAGCACACACATCCCTGCTTCTTTAACCCTAAGCTCATGGATCGTTCCAACAAAATCCTCATAGTTATCGCATCCATGCACATGCATGTATTTCTTGAAAATCCCTTCAAGCTCAAGCATCTCCCCATACATACTAGATCCTTTGAAAACACATTCAATCATCCTGGAAACCCTCCTTTCATAATACTCATAGCTTTTCAGCACTTTTATGTCTCTGCAAAGCCTTCCTTCAGCATTCAGCTTTGCAAGCTTTTTGTAGTACATGTATCTTACCACAAAAACACTCCTCATGTGCCTTTTTATTGCTCTTTCCTTCCTTCCTTCCCCTGCATCCATCCCAATAACCCACTCACTGAGCATTTCCATCTGCTCAAGTATCTTAATCTGCCGCCGTAGTCTCACTTCCATCCTCCTGTAAAACAGGGATTGATCAGACGCAAAAGCACAAACACATTCATCTTTTAATCTTCTTGATCGGCTTCTTCCGATCCGCCTTCTTCAATGCCACAGGCTCGTCCTCCTCAACCATCTCAAGCTTGTCTATCCTTGTCTTCTTTGCAATAAGATACGCCCACGAAAACCTGCGGTCGGCCGCCTCAACCTTCTCCTGAATGTATCCCTGGCTTATCAGATTCCTCACTATCCTCTCTATAGTCGTTCGGCTCATCTTCCTTCCCTTCCCATAATATTCGCTCCCAATAAACTCTTTGCTCTTCTTCGTAGACACCCCCTTGTACACATCAACCGCTTGGCATAGCGTAATCTTGTTGCTTGTGTAAACAAGCAAAATAAGATCCTTCGCCTCCTTCACATAGTCCTTCTTAACTACAAACTCACGTCTGCAGTTATCGCATGTCTTTCCACATTGCTTCGCATCAAAAACCTCTCCAAAGTGTGCTAGCACCTGCATCCTCCGGCAATCAGTCTTGTTCTCACAGAACTGGATCACTGCATCCAAATCATCCCGCTGCCGTTGCTTCTGCTCATATCCTCCGTCGCCCTTGTCAATCATAAAAGTAATCTTCTTCTTATCTCCATACGTGTAGAACAGCACACATACACTCTCAAACCCATCCCTTCCTGCTCGCCCTGTCTCTTGGTAATACCCTTCCAGCGATTTCGGTATACAGTAGTGAATCACAAACCTGACATCCTTCTTGTCAATCCCCATTCCAAATGCTATTGTTGCAACAATCACCTTCACATCCCCGCTATTCCATCTCTCTTGCACACTATTCCTTTCGTTCTTACTCAGCCCTGCATGGTAGAATGCCGTCTTCATATACTTTCTCAGTCTCTCGCTGATCATCTCGCACTCTTTCTTCGATGTGCAGTAAACGATTCCGCAGCAGTCCGGAAAATGTGTCTGCACAAAGCTAACCATGTCTATCTCAACTGTGCTTGTTTTTGCACGCACTTCATATCTCAAGTTGGCCCTGTTGAAACTCATCCGGAACCTTTCACATCCTCGGATCCGCAGGTTCTCCAAAATATCCATCTCCACCCTCTGCGTTGCAGTTGCTGTCAATGCAATAATTGGAACATTAGGATACCTCTGCCTTATGCTTCCAAGCTCTTTGTAATCCGGTCGGAAATCATGTCCCCACTGGCTTACACAATGCGCCTCGTCTATCACAAACCTTTTCAGCTTGCTCCTACGAACAAGATCGCTCAAAGCATCATGGAAATGCCCGCTCTTCGCAACAAGCTCCGGCGTCACATAGAATATCTTGCACACCATCTCCTCCCCCCCAAGAACATCAAAAACAAGGCTTCGCTCAGACTGGCTCAGATTCGAATTGATCGGAAGTGCAAGAATCCCCTTCTGCAGAAGATTGTGTATCTGGTCTTGCACAAGAGAAAGCAGCGGACTGATCACTATCGTAATCCCATCATCTATCAGTGCAGGCAGCTGGTAGCATATGCTCTTTCCCCCTCCTGTGGGCATCAGTACAAACACATCCCTTCTTGCCATGCATGCACATATCACCTCCCTTTGGTTCGTCCGAAACTCCTTCATTCCAAAAACCTTCTGTAAATAGAACTCCTCAACACACCTGGGACTTGCTTCATGGCCTGCCATAAATTCTTCTTCGCCATTGCCTCCAGCATCCAGTGACGACTTCAGAAACGTTGTCCGAATCATGTCGTTGCTAAAGCTGCATGATTCGTTCTGCTCGTCTCTTCGTTCATCCCATCGATCAATTGCTCCCAATCCCTCTATTTGATTCTCCGCCACACTTAGGCTTATGTCAGAAATGTCATCTCCAAGCGATGAATAGTACTCATAGTCCACTTCCTTTCTATCCTCGGCATCGCCTGCACCTGCTTCATCTAATCCACTTGTCTCCAATACAGCTACATTCTTGATCATTTCTCGGCCTGAGTTTCTATAAAACCCCAGTCTCTCAACTCCCGTTCTTATTTTACTCCCTGATGATGTATCGTCTCCTTTCGTAGCAAACTGCCTGTTGTCAGACTCATCGGCCACACCCACAAATTCAACATCGCTGTCTGATGCACCGTCATGTCCATTTCCATGTGCTCCATCAGAGTTGCTTGTCATCTCATCAAAGTTCCATTCGCTCTCACTGCACATCTCCTTCTCGCTCAAAACAGCATTAATAAAAAATTCTTCATCCTCCAACTCATAATGCTTGCCTTTCATCGTTCGTCTTTCTGTATGCTACCTCAGGGTTAGCTTTTGCTTTATTCAACCCCAAATGTTCCTCAATGCATTTATTCCTCTGTGCCTGGATGTTGTACTTCTCTACCAATGCAAAGTTGCCAAACACCGCGCCGTACTCGGGCTTGCACATGCAAAAATGATACAAGCAGTTTTTTTCAAGCAAAACACTCGAAAGAGCATCCATCATGGCACTTCCCCAGTAATGCTCAATTAGATCATAAATCTCGTGCTCTCGCTTCCCATCAATACACATCTGGATGTATCTTGCAATCTCTGCAGGAAAGTAGATCACAATGAGTTTCAATGCATCGAGTGTTTGCACATCTCGAACCCATTGCTCAAGCATCTGCTTCCCCTTGTCGTCGACTTTTCTATAAAGTCTGCATAGAACCATCTCCATTGCATGCTTGCCATACTTTCTAACCATACTTGCTACCATCCTATCGCCCATGCTTCCAAGCACGAATTCTTCAAAAAGATGCTTCTCTATCTTCGCCTGTAAGTGCATGCTCATGGCATCAGTTGCATCAGTTGCATCTGCAATCAAACACTCTGTAGGATCAATGCATGCGCCAATCTCGGGCTGTATAAGCACAGCCATGTACAAATCAAACAAATCAACATCATTGTCAAGCGCAAGCATCTCATATACATCAGTATCTATATCATACACCACAGCATCGTATGCTTTTGAACTTATCCGTCCTGCATATTCCATGTAGACAATATCCGGTGTCAAAGCCACCATCAATGCCTGCTTTGCAACAATCTTACTACGTACCATCATAGGCATGCATATACTCAACTCGCTTCGAACACAAATGCCTCCAACCATTGCAAAGTCATTTGAGCAGTTGCAATACATCTTCACACTGCATTCATGCAGCAACATGCCATCGATGCTATACAGATGCTGCACTAGACAATCCTTTCCATTGTGCTTTTGCTTTACCCAGATCCATACGTTCTGCTCATCAGCGAGCACGCTCAGAGCTTCAAAGCAGAGTCCAGGCGGAAGCGTGTATCTCCTTCCATCTTGGCCACAAACAAGTTCTGAGCCATTAATGCAGGCCTGTGATTTGCTTACCAATCCATGCAGCGGCAACTCATAAACCTTCAATGTTTCTTGCATTACGAACATCTTAGATCCATGCACTGCAACCGAGTTCTCATCCACTTCCAGAACCTTCGTAGATGCATACCAAAGAAACCCTTGACAGATATGGAACACACAAGAGCACTCTGCAAACAAGTCGGCATAGTGATTCTCAACAAGCATGTCAATTAGTGGCTGGTTCATCCGCATGCCTGCACTTATCACATACTCAGCTATGCATCGCATCCTAGCCCTGGCACACATAAAGCAAAGCAAACTAAAATGCCAGCTCGGCAATCCCCATGGGCAGAGCAGGAAGGCAAAGACTAACAGAAATAACAAACACATCACATCTGCAAGACGTAACAGAAATAACAAATACACTACATCCGCAAGACGATAAAATAGAGCCGGCAGAGAAATGCATAGTTGTGTCTGACGATGAACTATACAGCATCGACGTCATAGACATTCCCATTTCTGACGAGATATTCGATGAATATCAAATCACAAGCAAGATTCTTGAAGAATACTGATAACACAAATGTGCATAAATTTATTTGTCATTCGCATCCTCTGCATATCCACCCAGACCATTCTTAGGCTCCCCTCCTGCTTCAAATCCATCAAGTACACTTGATATTTGGCAGAGTTCATCCTCAAGGACCATCAGGCATCGATCGTCCTCAGGAAACGGCATTATGCATATTCTGATTGCATTTGTGCTTCTCAGGAAATCCCACACACTCAGCCCCTCACGGACAATTCCATGCTCTGCCTTCTTCCACATGCTATGCACATGCTCATTGATTGATTCAATCCACTCCAGTTGCATTTCTATATCAATCATGCGATCCTGGCTGTCAAATACCTCATACAAGATGCATATGTTCATCATTGCCTCGACATCACGCCCCTCAGACAAGAATGCTAGCACCTCCTGAATAATCTGGTTATGTATCTTTCTCACAAAAACCACCTGCTGCTGAGGATTCTTGTATATCCATGCCAGCTTCCTGAAGTCGCACTCATCCAGTCTAGACACATCCCCTGTTTCAAACATCATTTCTCGGATGTGTAGAAGATCTCTCTTAATATCCTCTACAAGTGCCCCCTCCTTCTCCTTCACCGGCATCGCGTAGGGCCATTACATAACTCAATCAAATCCCACATAATTTTGTGCCTCCAGCCATGCATCAGCCTTCATTTTATCCCAACGGCTTTGCAGTTCTGCCAGCAATCTTTGCAATGTGTTCAGGCACCCTGTGTCCATTTTCCTCGAGAAAATCAACCACAACGCCCATCCTCTCAAAGTCCTCACGCGAATAAATGCTATATATTTTCTGTCCACTACAGTTTCTATTGACTCTGCCAGCCCTATGCACAAACTGCGTCTTTGTGTCAGGAATGTCGTAGTTAATAACACTCCGGACGTTGTAAAAGTCAACGCCTCTGCTCAGGGAATCTGTTGCAAACAGGTACCAAGTCTTCTTCATGCGGAAGTCGTCAATAATGCTCATGTCTGGCACACAATGCTCTCCGCAATCGGCACTTCCTTTACACATATCCCCTTCCTGCTGGCATTTACATTCTGTGTACACGGCGCTTTTTTCAAGCATCTTGCTGAGCATCTCTCCGGTTGCTTCGTCTCTAACAAAAATCAGTGCTGGAGACTCAACGCCATCAGCAATCACCTGCATCAGTGCAAGATGCTTTATTCTTCTGTTTGTTCCAAACACAAACTCATGATCAAAGTATCTTTTTGACCATATGTGTATCTTCGTAACATTTGAAATCGCATCCATCACCTCAGCAACATACTCGTTGATTGTTGCACTGAAGCAGCTGACATGTGCGCTTCGGAGATCCAAAACCCTCAGAATCCGTCCAAACTGTTCAATCGAGTTTTTGCAGATCAGGAAATCTGCCTCATCTATTACAAGATGTGTAATACCACTTATCTTCACATTCTCACACACCCTCAGCAATCCTTCAGGCGTTGCTACTAAAACTCTTGCATTCGTATTCAGAAATGCATCTCCAACAGCCTTTTCTACAGCAAGTACTTCCTCATCAACCACTCTATTATTTTCACACCGCATCAGCTTCATTCCATTTGCATATGCATACACACCCCTTACACGCATCTGCCTGCCCTTGATTTCATCCAGACACATTAGCACTTGCTTCACAAGCGCTGCACTAGGCACAATCACAACTCCAAAAACATCCTTCTGCATTCCAAGCTCTACGAGAGGCAAGCAGTAGCTCAGTGTCTTGCCACTACCTGTAAATGCCCTGACAATCACATTAATGCCACTAAGAAAGTATGGAATTACAATCTTCTGCACCAAGAGAGGCGACTCAAACGCCAGCTTTGCGGCCAACGATTCAAATCCGTCAAGATGCATAAGCTTCTCTCCATCAATCTCGTACTTAACATCTTCTTTCGGAGCTCTTTTTTGCCTCTTCGGCCGTATTCCTTTCAAGAGGATGTCTTCTATCTGCATGGGGATTCAGTATCAGCATGTTTTGTGCAGTTTGTGTCCATGAGATGCTTGGCGACACCCTGGCATGGGATTGTTCCTGCTGGTTGCTAGAGACAACGAAGACCCTGAGGTGGTGGATCGTGTTAGAAGCACGCTCAACTGCGACATAGCCGATCAAGGCATGCAGTACGATGGCATCATTGTTCTTGGAGGGGATGGGAGTGTTCTAAGGGCAGTGTCGTGCTATGATGATCCGCCAATTATCTATGCAGTCAATCGCGGAAAGGTTGGGTTTCTTTGCCCGATTCCATACAGCAAGCTCGATGATCTGTTAGAAAAGCTTGTGTGTGGCATACAAATAGACATGAAAAGATCAATCAGGCTGTGCTTTGCAGGCAAAAGGCGCTTTCTGAATGAGGCAATAATAAGGTCACGGGTGCCACGGCTGAGCACATTTCGGATCTGCATCGACAGCATGTCGTTTATGATAAGAGGAGATGCGGTGATTGTGTCGACACGCATGGGAAGCAGTGGATACAATGCATCTGCAGATGGGCCGTTGCTTCTTGTGGACAGCATCGTCATTAATGTTGTGGCGCCAAACAGGTGTGCATTCAGGCCGATTGTGTGCGGTATTGAGAGCAAGATCAGTATTGAGGTAGATGCGGATCCCCAGGTCATCATTGATGGAATGGGATATGATGAGGCAGGAGGGTGTGGGAGTGTGTTTGATATATACTATGACGGATCCGTGGTGAGGTTTGGGCACCTGAATGAATATGACGGGTCTGAGAAGATTGAAGGGTTGTTTATGCTGAATGCAGGGCCGGTGCTGAGCTTGGAGTAGAGCAAGACATGCAGAGCCTTCAAAATGAAACAATTGCAGTAGCCCTTGATGGGATTTGAAGAGCAGCTGGCGGTGTTTTCGCCCGATGGAAGGCTGATACAGGTTGAACGTGCACAGCAGGCAAGCGAGCAAGGATCTCTTGTTGTGTTTGCAGTGGGGCCTTCTGAGGTTGTGGTGAGCCTTGAAAGGAAGACAGGGAATCGGCTGCTTATTGAGGAGCCAAAGATGTTTATTATCAATGAGGCACAGGGGATATGGATGAGCTATTCTGGATTCAAACCTGATGCGTATCTTGTGATGAATATTGCTCGTATGATCTGCACGTCATACAAGAGTAGTAAAGGAGAGGATATCACGATTGATCAGCTTGCAAGGCGAGTTGGAGAGTACAAGCAGAGATATACGGTTGTGTACCACCAGAGGCCGTTTGGGGTAACGACTGTGCTGTTTGGGCTGTGTGCCAAGCCAGTTGCATTTGTCATTGAGCCTAATGGGAACTTCTCTGAGTTTTACTGTGGAGCGATTGGGCAGAAGAGCCAGAAGGTATGCGATTATCTTGAGAGGAAGGAAAGAAATGATCTTATAGGGCTTACTGTTCGTGGACTGATGGAAGTGGTGCAGTCAGATCCAAACAAGATCTCCACGTTTGTGATAAGCAAGGAAGGATGTAAACAAGCTGAGCGTTCTGTGATTATGGGTGTGATTGATTCGTCTGTAGATCAATAAATGATGTTTTCTGTGACTTGATACCGGAGATGAAACAGTGTATAGCGGTGAAGATTGGATGTTTGTTTCCTTTTGCGATGTATGCTAGACGCTGTGCAATGATACTGAATGTGATGCATGTGCTCTTGCAGATGGGATATGGAGTATTTTGTAGAATGGGAGTTGTTATAAAGTCTGTGAGCAGTAACAAGTACCTGAGCCCCTTAACATTAGAGTTGGAGGATGATGGCATAGATGCGGTGCTGGGGGAGTATGCATTTGAGTACAAATGGAACAATAGCACACATAGATTTGATCTTGGCACGGATGATGGTGATATTGGAGTTGATTTAAGCAGCGGAAGGTTGGTGCATGGTGGCACAGAATCAGCTTCTGGCATGCCTGAAGACCATGGGTTTTACTTTATGAATCCTCCAAGATGCAGAAATATGATTGGGTACAGCTCGTTATGTATGCAGGAGGTAAACGGCGAATTAAGGTTTTCCAAGTGTCACCTGCCTGGAAATGAGCCAGCTAGCTTCCAGTTCATTATCAAGACGATTAAGAACTTTAAAGGTCGCACTGATACAGCATATGCGCCAGATCAAACAAGCACGCAGGACGTAGAAGCAAGGCCAGCTGTTGTGAATGCAAGCAATAGAGATGTTGATAAAGAAATCATTATGGATAGTGGCATGCAAAATGATGTGGATGTGGACTTGGACGACAGCGGAGAAGTAGATAGCATGCTAGACTATCAGGTTGATGGCAGCGTACACATGGATGATACAAATGAAAATACCCAAGGGAAATGTAGCAATCAGCATGTGTTTCTAACAAGTGTTTCTGAAGAGTTGAAGCGACGGAGGGCCAGGCAATCTCAAAATAGTGTATTAAATCAGGAGGTAGTGTAGCGCATGAAAACCTCCTGTGATAGCCATGAAATGGAAAATACCAAGCATGTTATTTATTCCCATATCTTTACATTTCCAAGAAGACTTCCCGATGCTACATTGGATATGCTCCCGCCCATCCAGTCTATCGAAGTGCATGGGTCTCCTCTGACTCCAACAGATGTGATTCGATGCGAAGCGCATTCAACAAAGTTTATGAGGCCATCTTCACTTCCGTAGCATACCAAGGTGCCGTCTTCTGAGGCCTTTGGTGCTGTTGAGCATCTGTTTGTGATGGTTATTCGCATTTGCTGATCTGCCTGTACGCTTATGCATGCCTTTGTGTGATCCTGCTTGCTTGTATTTTCTGCACAGCCTGCACCTGTATATGATTGTGCATTGAATATATCTATATAGCTGCTGCAGGCTACCAAGAACATGCCTCTGCTTGAGTCAAATTCAATAAATGAATACTCTCCAGCATGAACTGTGGAATGCTTATAGTGCCGGAGATCGATCTGATGCAGCATCCCATTTCGTGTTGTAGCCATCAGTGTGTTTGTCTGCTCATCGAGTGCAAGATCCGATATGGAGAACGGATTGAATCTGTCGTTTGGTGCACTGCCGATATGCACACTGATTTGGCTCTCAACTGTTTTGCTACGGATATCGAGAATCCGGACTCCTCCATCTAGTCCTGCTGCAAACCAAAGATTGCCTGATGATTCGTGACTCTGGCACGTGAGAGGAGTGCCTAAGTCGATTGTTGAGTCGCAGCGGCCATTCTCAACTTGCCATCGCTTCAAGAATCCATCAAACGACACAGTGGTAAATCTAGATTCGTCTGTGCACAGCGCTACCGATGACAAAGCCTTGCTATGCCCCATGTATGTCTTCACAAGCTCATTGCTTCTCAAGTTGTACAGATATACCTTTCCATCGAAGCTTGACGAAGCAAGCAACTTGTGCTTCTTGAAAAGAACACATGATGTTACCATGTCCTTGTGCTCATTAAACAGTGCAGTATTGCGGCTCGGAATGACGAACTTGGACATTGGTGTTCGCATCAATGCAGGATCGTTGATTGACAGTGCATACATACTTCTTGAGCGCTCTTTTCCCTGCACGATGCAGTGCTTGTTGACTATTTTCTTGAGGCATTGCTCCTCACGTGCATGTCTTGGCGTGTTTCCGCACTCCTGGATGCCTACAAACCCACACCAAGGCCCACTGAATGCACCTATCTCTGATGCATCGCCAAATGCGTTTCTTTGTGCCTTTACTCGTTTCTGCGGCTCTTTTTTGGCCTTCTTTATGCGTTCGTGTGTATCCAGGCCGTCCATGGAGGTGTTGAATGCATTGGTTTTAGCGATCCCTTGGATGGAGGTTCTGACACTCAGCAATTGTGTGCTGAAGCCTGATGCGTGTGCAGACACCACGGTCAAGATATCGAAGGACGGGGTTGCAATAAAAACCAAGGAGAAGACACATGTGATGACAGGGGACGAGATAAGGGATGCAGAGCTGTTTTATGGCGCAAGGAAGATGACAATGAGGATTTTTGGGAAGAGTTTATATGAGATTGGGGGAGTGGACCAGAACTATGCAGAGGAGCTGAAGAGGGCGTTTTCGCATCATTTCAAGATAAATCTGTACGTCAAGGAGCTTGAGATTGTGAATGTTCTGAGTGGAGAGCTTGGAATCAACAGTCGGAATGCGTTGGAGTTTAGGAGCAAGAAAACAATATTTGATATTCCTGTGGATGATATTGAGGGCGTGGTTGATGTCAGGAACGAGCTGTGTATTTCGCTGAAGGGCATGGAGATTCGGTTTGCCTGCGACAGCAGTACGGCGGAGGAGATAAAGAGAAGCTGCAGCTCGATGATTGATGACGAGATATTGAAGATTGAAGGGCTGTCTCTGTGCTATCCACGAGGCAAGTTTGGATTTGTATTTTTCCATGAGTATTTCAGGATGGTCGGAAGCAGCTATGAGCACAAGATAGCATATCGAGGCATCAAGTCGCTGTATGTGCTTGAAAAGGGGCATAGAGATGACGAGGAGAAGTATGTCGTGATTGGTGTTGATCCATGCATCAGGCAGGGACAAACTATGTATGAGTATGTGGCACTGTCGTTTGATGAGAGTGTGGGCGAAGTGAGTGCGAATGATGGCAGGCTAAAGAAGGAGTATTCTGGGCTGCTTTCTGATATTTTTGTTGAAATAATGGAGGCGCTGTGTGTGATAAGGCCGATGCGAAGCACATTTGAGGCTAATGATGGCAGCAGGAGCCTGAGATGTGCAACGAAGGCATATGAGGGCCAGCTTTATCCGCTTGATGACTGTGTGCTTTTTCTGCCGAAGGTGTTTAGGCTAGACCTGGATGCTATGACGATTGTTGAGTTTAGTAGGATCAACCTCAGCACGATGCAGGCGAAAACGTTTGATATGACGATCTTCTGTGACAAGGCGTATATATTCAACGGGCTAGCGAAGGATGAATTTGGGGGACTCGAGCAATATTTCCATGCAAAAGGAATAAAGGCAAGAAGCGAGGTGATTGACGATGCGGTGAGTTCTGAGCATGAGTCTGAGGAGTACGAGGATGACAGCATTGTTGTTGATTCTGATGAATAAAAGTGGCTGAGGATACAGCATTTGATGCTGCTGTTGAGTGGATCAGCTGATGCAGAGAGTGCAAACAGTTGTAAGTAAATAGCAGCATGAAACAGTATGTGCATGGCATATAATGCAGTAGTGGGTGATAAACAATGCGTTTTCTAGAGTTTGTGGTGTGTTTTGTTGCAGTTTGTAGAGGAGGAGAGGGAGACGAGGCACGAATGTCTGCTAAGAGCAGTATTGAGATAGAGCAGGGGGATGCGCTGCTCAATAGCATTTCGGCAAGCAATCGATTGTTTAGCAATTTGATGAAGTCGAAGTTTAGTCTGAATATATCCTAGCATGCTTTGAATATGCTTTGAATGGAGTGGAGAGGACTAGCCATGAGATGCATTATAGCCGATGAGACACAGGTTTAAGATGATTTTTTTACTGCCCATCGAAATGGTAAGTGATTAAGGCGATCTGAAGAATTTTGGAACAAGTTAACTTTTAGGGAAGAGGAACGAAGAAGGTCGGGATATCTGGGTGTTTTGGAGCAAGGTATGGGTCTACACTGCGTAAAAGAATGAAAAGCGTGCTTGAGACACAGAAGGCGAAGTATGAGTGTGATGCATGTGGAAAGACTACTCTGAAGAGGAAAGCGGTTGGCATATGGGAGTGCAAGTTTTGCAAGCGCAAGTTTGCAGGGGGGGCGTATGCAACGACTACACCGGCAGGAAAGACTTTTGGCAGCATGAATAAGCAACATGCAAAATAAAATGGCTTTCGGATATGAATTTTTGATTTGTGAAAGTGCTCAATGCCTAACGATGGAGTAATCGTCTGTGTGGCAAATACTTGCAAGTGGGTGGTATTCAGGATGTGCTGAGCATGTTTGTGATGGCGATGTTTGATGCACTTCTGATACAGTTGCAGATGTGTTTAGGATATAAATACGGGGTTTGGATGGATGGAGAGATGTTGTTCATGCTGCTGTGTATGAGTGTTTTTGCTGAGAAATGCTTAGCGGCAGTCTGCGACGCAAACAGCAAGCATGCTTTCAGCATCAACGATGATGGAGTGATGCTGCTGAATGTGATGCACAGGAATCATCCGCTTACAATTCTTGGAACACATCATGAGGATGGCCGGAAGCATCTTGTGGCAATGCTTACGGAGATATCTGATTCTACGATAGAAAACCAGGTGTTCAACCTGGCATATCAGGCTACATCAAGAAGCATATGGCTCAGACTAAAGAAGGACCCATGCATTAAGGTTGCAAAGTCATATTCGTCTCTAGAAGGAGTGAGGCAAGACGATACATCATCCTTGCTATACATACAGAATGTATCGAACGATCACGAGCAGTTCCAAATCTTGTCCGATGGTTTGTGCCTTACTGTGGACAAGCCGAATTATTATGATGACACCAACGGAAGGATGCTTTCATTTGGTCCGTGTGATGCTAACAACAAGGATCAGATATTCACAATCATATCTTCATTGAAAGGCTCTGTTTACTTGCATCCAGAGATGGAGAAGGACGGAGATGTGATTGAAAGGATAATCAACAGAGAAAACATGACAAAAAGAATAGTGAAGTCTGTTGAAATAAGCATGCCAAAGAACCGGTATTAAGTATTAAGTATACAAGCGGCAGTGTATCGTATCGATTGATGAAATAGCATGTGCTATCACAGCGCTTTTTGCTTGAATTTATTCTTGCATTCAGGTAGCAAGGCATGGCTTCTAGCAACAATGTACAGAAAGCATTCGATCACTATTTACGGCCAATAATACTTAGAATCCTCACAATAAACGTATTACTTTTATTCATACCGAAAGCACGGAATAGCCATTGAATTCCATTCCGATCTTTTTAATGCCTGTGCTTCATAAAATAACTAAGCAAGCATGCCGATGCAGCTTTTTAAGCTTAGACACCAAGCTGTATTAGTACCGGTATGCTAGTTTAAATGGCTTTCAGCTGCGGCCTGCCAACTCATCTATGCCACTGTTGTTATCGACAATGTATAGGGACTGGTGACCGTGCTTTGTATCTGGGCATTGCTATCAGTTTCATACAGAGAAATAAACTTTTTAAGCACTGGAAACTCATTTAGACTAAACGACTTCACATCATTAAGGCTCTTGATATCCTGGATTCTCATGTCTGCAAAGCTATTGTAGTACTTCAAATCATTTTGGTAGTAATTCGACTCGTTAAATGACTCACTGCTGCTGTTGCTTTCGTTTTCATTGCAGACGTCCGATGCCGAGATAATCGACGGAAGAATGCCTTTATTCATACACCTGCTTTTTTTTCTGTTTTTCGTTGGCTCGTTGATGATCGTTATTGTCTGCTCATCATCAACCGTCTTTGTCACATGAACCAAAACAGTTGATACGGACGTCGATGTCAAAACAGAGGTTAACACAGTTACAGGCACAGGCGAAACCATACTGTTGCCATACGTGGTTATACTGCTGTAAGTTGTACTACTCACAGGCTTTGGCGGGTCTGAGGCCACTCTTACAACGCTAGGCTCCAGCAACTCCTTGATGGCATCTGAGTCCGAGGAGTCTGATATCCTCGCAAGCTTTGCTGGCGCATGCGAGCTGTCGTCCTCAGCGTACCTCGACGAGTCGCTGACACTTCCAATATAATAATTTAGATCCGATGAGCTGTCTGAATGGTAGCCATCGTGTATTTCATTTGCACTTCTGGTATTCTTTTTCCGATGAGAAATCGGATAGGGCTCATCCTCAAAAACAAAAACCTGCCTGCTATACTGAATCCTGCATGTAGAGATGCTTAGAATTTCTTCATCAGACAGCGTCATGCACTCATCTTCAGCCCATTCAGGCGTGATATTGTATCCATTGGTGCCTTCCACTCTTTTCAGGCTCCATTCAAATGCCTGGTTTTGTACCACAATCCCTTTCTTCTTCCCGTCTGTGTATCCTAGAAACTGTGGCTCGTCAGAGCCCGAAGATATGATTGCAGTGATGCTTTCCTTTCCATATCGCTGCTTGTAGATGCTTTTGATATAAAACATCACCTTCTTCTGGGTGCTCTTAGAGCCCAGCTCGATTCTGCTGTCAACAAGCCGGAGGATGTCATTGTATCCAAGCGGCCTCATCATCTCTGTGTATTCTTCATGCACCACACCGTAAACGCCATGTACAAGCGCCGCATGCATCATCCATACAATGAGTCTCATACTCCACTCCTACCCTCTGCATTTATCAACGCCGATTGAAACATAGTGTTGAATTGAAACACTGGTCTTGCTATTGCATGTACCCAAACACAAAGCCCTTCTTTCCCAATCCGATCACTCGTCGATCGTTACATTCTCGCTTATAAAATTCCTCACATCGCAATAGAATTCATATTGCACCTCAGGCGGAAGATTCGCAATAACAAAGTTGTACAGCATTGTAAAGGCCTCGTTGCTGTCTACTGCATCATGCATCTTTGAATAGACTACATTGTTAAGAAAGTCATCGATCTGCTTGTCAAACCCGTGTCTTTTGATATGCGATTTAAGCGCCTCAACAAGCATCGCTTTACACTTATCACTCTGTAGTAGCTTGTTTGCATCCATTCGAAGTAGGGTGCTGTGTCATTCAAATTAATTTCGCACAATGGCCTTATGGTTGTTCTCAAGCAAGAGGATGTGGCTCCGGAATGCTTGAAATATTTGCCCAGCAACTACAACTTTGAGGTTGGCAAGACACTCAGAACAATTAAACGACTAGGTGCAAAGAAAGTAACGCTGCAGTTTCCAGACGGCCTGCTCAAGTATGCGCTGGTAATAATCGATATAATAGAAAGATACACCGATGCGGAGTGTGTTGTTCTAAATGATGTTGTGTACGGCGGATGCTGCATAGACGACAAGAATGTTAAGTCAGACCTTCTAATACACTATGGGCATTCGTGCCTGGTTCCTATAAGCGAGATGGACACCAAAGTGCTGTATGTGTTTGTGGACATCAGAATAGATGTTGAGCATGCTGCAGAGATTATCAGAGCAAGCATCCCTGGCAGAATAGCAATAATAGGAACCGTACAATTTAACTCAAGCATCCATAGACTGCAGAAGGTTCTTGAGAAGGGTAATAGGCCTGGCGTATTGCCACAGGTCAAGCCGCTGAGCGGAGGCGAGGTTCTTGGATGCACTTCACCCAGGATAGATGGCGTGTCGGCCGTGATATCGATCGGAGATGGCAGGTTCCACCTAGAAAGCGCAATGATTCGAAATCCACATCTTGACTTCTACAAATACTGTCCTTTCAGCAGGACAATGACAAGAGAATTCTATGACTACGAGGCCATGACAAACAACAGGAAAGAGGATATCAGAAAGGCATTCCAGGGAAGGTCTTTTGGCGTGATTCTTGGAACCTTGGGAAGACAAGGCAACAGGAAAATCCTCAGAAATATTCTTGAGAGGCTCAAACAATATGACATTTACTTGATTATGCTCCAGGAAATCAAACAGAAGGATCTGGATAGATACCAATTTATAGACAGCTTCGTACAGATATCATGCCCAAGGCTTAGCATAGACTGGGGAATGACATTCAAGAAACCGCTTCTGAATCCATTCGAAGTGTTTTATGGTGGTGGGGAATATCTTATGGATTACTACTCACAGGATGACAAGGCAAAGTGGAATAACTACAGTTGATGCATAGCATTCCACCGTGCTTTTATACAGCATTTTATATAGTAGTTCCTAGCCTAACACCATCCTATGGCTTCATAAATGAGTATGCTTCTTGCTTCAGAGCCGCAAACTCAGACTTCAATGACTCGATGATTTGACTGTTGTCGTGCAAATGAATGACTGCTTCAATTTTCTGCACTACTCTTGAAACAATCTCATTCACTTGCTTCTTCTTATAGCTGCTTTGCATCACCTTTGCAAGAATCTTTGTGATCTCCAGATCATGTGCATCGTCAAGCTTTTTCATTCGGGGCTGGCTTGCATACCTGTTTTGTGCATTCCTTCTTTGATGTTCTGTATGAGTGTGCACTTGTATTTCGTTGCTTTACGATACCTGATCGGCCGCACTCGCCATCATCGCCATCATTTGTGTTGGCATTGTGCATAGCACTGCTATTACTCAGCGGCATACTGTGTGCCAGCTCTTCATTCTTCCTCTTCGATCTAATGCATGTCTGTATCACTGACCTGTCCAGCTTCTGATACTTCATTGCATATCCAAGCCCCACTCTTCGTTGCAGAAACTCTTTTGGAATCTTGTTTGTGACGAATCTTGTGTTCAACTGCAACAGCTTCAATAAACCATCCATTCCAGGGTGTTGCATATCACATATAACTATAACTGCATAGTTCCTTCAACAAGCGCACCACATATCCAAGTGTTGCTCAATAAACCAAACCAGACCAAACATTTTATTTCTGCTTGTCAACAACAACCCTATAGTAGACACATTCTCCCGCTGTCTTAGACCTTCTTATGATCTCCATAACGTCTCCCTGCCTTGCTCCAAAATATCTAGCGATCACGTCGCTCTTCTGAATCCGAGGAAGATCCTGCGGGTTAAGCTTTAGACTCTTCAAGACGGCTTCCCGCTCCTCCCTCGACAGGATCCTGTGTGGAGGAACCCATGCATGCTTTGTCTTGTTGAACACAAGCTCCTCCACCAAAAACACTTCAATCACAAGCCGAGGCATCAGTGATATCATCGACATCACTGTTGGACTCGGCATTTGTGCAACCACAAGAACCAGATGCAGTATCCCGTCCTTCTCATACTGAGACACCAATACCTCAAAGACCTTCTTCCCCATCTTCTCGTCATCCCCAAAGTGAACCGCAACCGGCTTGTTTCCATCAACCGCTGTGAAGTTCATCGTGGATCTCTTCGTAAGAGCAAACGGATACTTCTCGTAAAACTCAGCAACATCCATTATTTCCTGAGTGGTGCTGTATCCCCTGTCCCTTGCCATTTCTATTGTTGTATTTCTACTTAAGCACAGAGCTCGTATGTCGCATGCCATGGATTGCGCAGGGATTCATTTTGTGCATTTCATACCGCCGCATTTGCCTCCCATGTACTTGGAGGATGTTACAGGGCACGAAGGCGAAAGCGTTTCAGTAGTGGGCAAGTTTGAACGCCTTGAAGACGGAGCCGTTGTGCTGAGATGCATAAACAGAGAGGTGTATGTTAGGCATTCAAATATCGACTCATACAGGTCTGGGTTTGTACTTGTGTGCGGAACAGTAGAGAACGGAATGCTAAACGAAAGCAGCGTGCATCCAATAGGAGGCGAATTTGACATCGATATGTACCACCGATTTATCAATGTTGCATCAAAGTATCCAGGCATGTTCTGATAAAAGTATTGCAATATCTTTGAACCGATTCCTCCGAAATTATGCTTCAGGCATTCATAAATTCGATTCAGTAAGAGTAAGCCAAGATAAAGCTGCAAAGCATATGCACAATCTATGACTATTAAAACCATAACAATAAAAGCATACTGAAGTACTAGCATGTGTTAAGCATTCATTGTCAATGCAACTCCATAATGCATGATGCCATAAAACCTCACAAGGAATCAATGCAATACACACTCAAGCCATGCAGAATACATTCTAATGCACATCATAGGCATACATGGCAGCACAGCCTCAGTATTTTGGCTGTGGCTTGGGTGTACAAACAAAACATTCAGAAGTAAACCAATTTATTTCTCAGATGGCCTGCCACCTGCCATAAACTTCTGCATCGAGCTTGCGCCAATGTTCTTGAATCCACGAACAATTTTGGTCTTCTGCACATTCATCTTCTCGACTACGTATTGGGCCTCTTTTCCAAGGAACTCCCTGCTAGAAATGGTCCACTTGACATCCCTTGGATTGATGCATCGTGCAATCAGTCTCCTCTCCTTATTAGACGACGTCAAAATCGTCTTTCCATCATTCATAATCTTGAACATGCCGGATCCTTTAGGTATGCTTCGTCCAGAATACGTTGATACGCCTTGGATCATCTTGAAGGGAGTGCTTTTTGAAAAAATATCATGCATAAGATGCTCGTGTATTGATGCATCCAATCGAATGCAAATGAAACAAGCCAAGCACAGATGTATCAAATGTGCAATCCGCTGGCTACTAAAGCACCGCGGTTCTCAGAGACATTAATTAAACAACACACACATGATGTAAAACGCAATCTTTATTAATACTCAAGCTTCATTCATATCAGCACATTGGGCTCGTGCTGTTTTGATGCTGCTAAGAATACCTACAGCGACACTATCGTATGGATTGGATAGTTAAGTCCCGGAATGCCTACTCTTAGCACCCTTGCATAGTTGACCGTCTTCACATTTTTGTTCCTATCACTGATAAGTATGTAGTCTCTTTGCTGGTTTGTTATCATGTCAGAGCGATTCTTCATCGTGAATCGCTCCTCGTTCTTGGCATTTATGTCCTTGTCGAGCGGATTGGTGTAGCCCTCCTCAATAACCCTCTTGAGCCTGTCGGAGACAACATTGATCCTTCCCATGAAAAACACCGGCTTCGTGCTGATTGTGAGGTCTTGGCGGATGTCACGGAGGATGTTTGCCATCTCCACTTCGATCTTTTCTTCGTAGGCATTGTACAGATCGAGATTGATCACTGTAAACCACTTTTTGGTGGCGATTTCCTCGAACACCGCCCAGCTTGCATAGATAATCTTGCTCTGCTCCGGGTTTCTGTAGTATCCATTCGCCCTTGGCTTAACATACTGTGTGTCAAAAACTATCGGAAGATATGCAGTTGGGCCCTCCTTAATGTCGATTGATCCCTCATCGGCATTCAGGATTCCGTAATGTCCAAGCACCTTTGTGCCCAGTGCATCAACCTCGCTCTTCCTGATGGCTTGTAGTGTCATGACTGATGCATGCGATGAGTCTAGGAGTTTCCACGCGACATCCACAAGTGCGTTTCGATCAGAAGTGCCTTCGGCTTCCATGTTGAACTCAACAAGGCTGAGGTTTCCAAAGCCCTCGTGGCTTCTTTTGTGGTTGTGGTCGCCTACGTATCCTGTCAAGTCGGAGATAGGGACGCTTGGACTCAATAAGTTGTCGAACGCAGTAGGCCCAAATCCCTCAATCTTACTGCCGAGGCCTTCAGGCATGGCTGCTTCCTTTGCTGCAACAGCTGCAATTGAAACAATAACGGACAGCACCAGCATCTACTCGCAGATGCCTGCTTTGTTTTTATCCGTTCGTAGACACGAAACATGTTTGACTCATAAAGAAGCAACTCGGCGTTTCAGACTCGTAAATCAGTGTGCAAATCTGATGCACACATCGATTGCTGCTGCATTCACACATGAAAAGATGCATCGCAATCGCCAATCAATGCATTTGCGCCACAGCAGCATAAATATGGTTGCTATGCTATGCAATAGCCTGTAAGAGCATACATCGAGTAGCATAATGCACCCTTGGGATGCCTGTTCTTGTATTGATAGGAGATGCAGATAGATATATAGAAAAGCTCAAGTCATGCATGGCTGAACACTTCAACGTTGTCCACCTGAACACAGAGTTCAGGGCAATGCGAAGTGAGCTAAGCAATATGGATCCACACACGGTCTACATTGTGCAGAACTGCACCATGAAACCGCAGAGATACGAAATATACTGCTTGGCAAAGCGAAACGAAACATCGTACTGTATACTCACCGACACCGAGCTTTCTACCTCAAAGCATGATATGCCTTCGTTTGTCATGGCTGAAGAGCTGCCGATCGAAGACATTATCACTAAGCTGAGAGAAAATCTGCACTGCAATGCTGCGCACAAGAAAAAAGTAACAGGCTCAAATTACATAATGCATTTCAAGCAAATGGTAAATAGAGTCAACCAAAGCATGCAGGCTTCGCCTAGCACGGCATCTGTGCTTAAGGAATGCGAGGGCATGCTTTTGAGAACAATAAGGCTCAACCCAATCAGCCTCGATGATCTTGAGGATGCATATCGCGATCTTGTTACTAACGAAATGAAAAGCAGAGGGTTTGCTTGAGCTAGCACATGGCTGCTATCATGCAGCACATAGGCAAAGCCATTGGCAGCATGTAAATTACCTGGTGTAATAAATGAAGTTTTTCTAAAACATATTTATTATAGATGTATGCATAGAATGTGAATTGTGAATGCATGCTTGCAATGATAATCATACGGATTTGATTGCATATTCACATTGTAATCCTGGCCACTAATCTTGCACTATACTCCTCATATCCAGCATTCACACGGCGTTTGCCATTTTGTGTATCCATGCTACCACATCACATCAGAAGTGCCTGATGAAATCAATTAGTATGTCCTCAGCTAATGTCCTGCTTGGCATGTTCGACAAGAATCCCAGATGCCCTCCCTTGTGTGTTATCACAAGCAATATGTTTCCATTCTTCATGCATGCGTCTTTGTCAATCGAAAAGGCAGGAACGACAGGATCGTCGTATGTGTTCAGAATGATGAATGGAACCGATATCGTGTGTATGTAATTCCCCCCAGACTCGCTCCTGTAGTAGTGGTCCACATCATCTATGCCAAAGATATTCTTTGTCACCAGCATATCTATCTGCTGCATGCTCCTGCACTTCTTCACTGTTTCAAAGTCGTATCCTGCATTCTTAAATGCATCTCTGTTCCTTTTCATGTATTTAATGAAGTTCTTGGCAAGTATCCAGTTAAAAAACCTGGTGTATGGATTCTTCTGAAAATGCCCTCCGATCTTGAAAAAGTCAAACGGAAGGCAGACTGCTCCTCCCTTGACAACCCTTGGATCCAGTCCGCCCTCTCCAAACAGCTTGGTTACCCAGTTCGCCCCCATACTGAATCCAAACACTTCAAGCGTTCCGCTGTAGTTCTCCAGCACAAACCTGACTGCCTCCTTGAGGTCCACTGTCCATCCAATGTGGAAAAACACCGCATTCTTCAGTCCTGACTTTGTCCCTCGTGCATTGAAGCAAAACACTCGGTATCCTTCCCTCACCAGGTGTGCAGACATCCACTGCATGTATGTTGAATCTCCAGATCCATTGAAACCATGAACCAGCAACACATTCTTCTGCGTCTCCTTATTCTTTTCAGCTATGTCAAGCACAATCGATCCATTGTTTACTGCTTCTATCACAACCATTGTTCTGGGATGGATTGCCGGCCTTCGGAACAGCTGTAGAACAGTTTGAACTACTCCAAACGGCGCAATAATCAATGGATAGTAGCTCTTATGCAAACTGTTCATCTTGTATACGCTTCCCACCCGCTCTCCTCCATAGAACACGTCCGGCTTGCGTACACATCTTCCAAAGTAGAACACTAGATACAGAACAACCAGGCGCACCGCATTGTTTCTTGCAAGAACTCCAAGTATGCCATGCATCATCTCCTGCATCACAATACTCATAGGGATCTCCGCTGCCTAATCAAAAACAAATAATCTTATGCCCAGTCACTGTTTGTCATATAAAGCAATATCTACAAATCAATTCGCTCAGACAATCAAACTATTCTTGGCATCGCACCTCTGCTGTCAGTGCAAGGCTTATCCATCGTCGGCCATAAACATCCTTTCAATCTCGCTTTCATACTCATCCCTAACTCTGTAATCGCACACTATGTACTTTCCGTAGTTTATTCCCTTCAATGAATACACACATTCAGCCACCCAGCCTGGCTGTACAACAAGACACTCAAACCGCCTTGCTAGATCTTCAACATCACCTTTGGAATGCGAGACGATGCAATCCACACAGTTGCCAGAAACACCCACCACTCCTCCATGCATTTCAATCACCTTTGCCAGCCATTGCTTGTTAGCCGTCTCCGCAACAAAGATTCTCTTTCCATCAAAAACTTTCTTCCTGTACGCCCTCAATATTTTCTTTACATTCCCATGCATACTAGAAAAGTACCTCCTATGTATTCGCTTCAATGTTTTGGTGATCTTCAACAGCTCATCATCCAGAGACCTCGGGTGTTCGTTGTGATTCTTGTGTCCGTTTGAGTTGGGTGCTGCATCGTACCTAGCATCTCCTGTGTGCACTGTGCTGTCTGGTGCTATCCCCAATGCAATCTCCTCTAGTTTCTCAACAATTTCACTATCTGTTATTTTATCCACTCTTTTACTTTTGCATTCAATCACATCAAGCCCTGTTTCTCTTTGTATCTTCTTCCTCAGCCTCAGTGGGTCGTTGATGTCTACACAATTGAAATACCAAAACGGCCTTACAAGAAGCAGGTTTTCGCAGAAGTCCCACACATCAGCCCTGTCGTCAAGAATCACGATATTCCTGTGCTCCGATGGAAACATCCTGCTCAGGCTCTTCACCAGCATTCCCTGATTTTCATCTCTTGTGATGATCCTGTCATGGAAGTACAACCCCGTTGGATCAACAATCGCAACAATCCTTTCTGCATATGCTCGTGTGCCCATTGTGTAAACGTGAATCTCATAGATCGTCGATATCATCTCGAGCATATGCCGGAGATTCGGTCTCAGCTTCACGAAGTACGTGCATCCATCCATCACAAAACTCTCCGAGTCATATTGTAGCCGGGCACTGCATGCATCGTGCATCACTGTGTGCAGTATTGTCTGGTCAAGGTCCAGCACAAGAATCAGCTTTTTCCTGCGTTGCAACTCTTTCATCCGTGCTCTGTAGGCAGAAACCGCCTGCTTGTGCGTGATTTGCACGTCGTTCGTGGTGTAGAGTGCACAGAACAGGCTTTCATCCTCAGAGATCTCTGCGCCACACTCTCCACAAAGACTGCCCAACCGAACAGAATGGCTACACCCAACCATTACGAAACAAGAGGACTGGCACACAATAATATATAAGCAAGTGTGCAGAGGGTAGCATGTGCATTCGTATGATACGGCTGCTGGCCTGAGTGGTGGGAGGTGCTGCTGAAGTCGCAGTCAGGATGGCCGAGTGGTCTAAGGCGATACGTTCAGGTCGTATTCTCGCGAGAGGCACGGGTTCGAATCCCGTTTCTGACATTTTGGCACGTATAACTGCATATTTATGTATCGCACAGCCAATCTGTAGTGCCACACATTCCCTATGCTCACTGTGCCTACACCATATGATGCAGCGTTTACGCTCTGCTATGCTTTTCATAACACACAGGTAGCCAGTGTCCCCAATGATTCTTTTTCTTCTCATAGATCTCCACAAGGACGACTGGGAAATGACAACACGCGACCTGTTTGCTGATGTGGTGGTCTTCCTGAATGCATACCAGAAGTCTTCCAGAGAAAACAGAATTGTGATTGTGAGCTCAAGATGTGTGGTCTTCGACACACTCGAGAACGACATTTCTGCAATATACTCCATAACAGCTCTCGAGACCAGATACAGCGTTGGTGACCTTGGATATGCCCTGTGCCTGCATAGAAGCGAAGAATCGCAAATAGTCATCTTTACACTCAGAGAAGAGCACAAGGACGAGTATCTCAGATACATCAAGTGCATGTTTGCTGCACAGAGATTTAGGATCAAGATAAATGCATTCTCGCTCGTAGAGAATAAAACAATCCTACAATGCTGTGCATCCACTGGCGGTGAATATTTCTCTGACGAGACCCAGTGCCTGAGATTCTTGCTATCACTGCTGGGAACACGAAAGCCTCTCCAACCTCTTGGATTCTCGGCCACTTGCTATTGCCACGGAAAGCAGATCCTCCTCGGCCTTGTGTGCCCAATCTGCCTCTCTGTGTTCTGCAAATTCATTCCTGTATGCAAAAAGTGTAAAAGCAAGTTCAGCTTCATCAAGCTCGAAGAGTAGATCATATGTATCATCCTATTTATTTGATCATCGAGTATAATGCTGCTCTGTTTTTCCTTGCAACCTCTTTACTCTTTGCATACTTCATGACTGTCTCCTTTCTGAACCTCAGCGACTTAGTCGAAAAAAGCAGTGCAGGCGCACACTTCGAAACAAACGCAGCCAGAAACTCCTCCACTTCTTCGTCAAGGCACGTTTCTGCATCGTTCAGCCTTTCAACAATACACCTAACTATATATGCCTTCAGGCTTATGTTGGGCGTGGCATCAAACAGCTCCTTGATTACTTCCTTGCTCAATGGATAATACTCCAGAAGCCTCTTCAGTAGGAAGTAAAACTTGTCCATTCTGACGAGCTGTATCTCATCCCACTTATCAAGGATGTATCTGAACACAAGCATCCTCATCCTATGGTCCGTATGCTGCAGAAAATCCATCACAAACCGCTTCTGCTCCGTAAACTTCGGAAGTTTCCACAGATAGTAGACAATCGACGGCACCATCCGCTCAATGCTATTGTCATCAAGCAGTCCATAGTGCTCATAAATACTCTTAATCATCATTGTGTTTTCCTCTGCATCGTTCGATCTTATTCCCTCAATAACACGCTCAATGTCCATCAAGGGAGCCGCACTTGTTCAATATTCATTTGCTATGAAAAAATTGTCCTGCTGGAACAATGCATCTGCTTCAAAGACTCATGCACAACCTCAACAAGCTCATGAGTTATCCAAAAGGATTCAAACACACAATGGATACAGAGGAGGCGAAGCTTGTCCTTGATATTCAGCACTCTGGGCAGACCGTCATGCAGCGATACCGCACACTCATTAGAATTAATCATCCAGATAGAGGCGGAAGCCCATATATAGCATCAAAAATCAACCAAGCAAAAAATTTGTTGATTGAACAAGCACCAAGGTATCAATGACATAACAAACCATTCTAAACATATTCGCTTCAAATACATTGCTTTATTCTTCATTAATATTCCTCTTCATCTCCATCAACTTCCTTTCTTCACTTTTCACTAGCCTCTCTAGCTCTTCTATTTCTTTCAAGTATGCATTCCTTGTCTCTTCATTCATACTTCCGTATAACTAGCGCTATAATCTTACAATACTTGATTAATGCATTCAGCACAAGCACAAGCAGCCTCAGATACATTCAAGGAACATAAACACATACTTCGCCATTCCGTTCCAATATACCCTTCTCATCAAGCGTCCGTATTCCTTCTTCAAAAGCCGCCGGATCATACTCAATGCATTCCGTATGCAGTTTCTTTGCCTCCTCAACAAGACTTGCAATGCCCATCTGCTTGCTTGCTTTCAAAATCTTCGATATCAGCGACTGGTAATACACATGCATATCAATCTCATGGTCAGGCTCATCTGCCTCGTTACAATACAGCCCGCATATGCTTCTTATCCCTATATCCTCACTGCTTCCAAGCATATACTCCCCATCCATACTCAACACCAATCCCCCTTTCATCAAAGACACCATCACACTCTTAACAGCCTTGCTGCTCAACCTTGTCTCCTTCCTCGCCAACTCCGCATCTATCTTTTCGTATCTGTTAAATAGATCAAACACTGCATACTGCAAAATACTCATCTCCACCTCTCGTCCCATCGCCTCAACAACCACTTTTCCAAGCTGCCATGCCCACTGCAGCCGCTTCCTCTCAAACTTGCCATCATACACCCTCCTGATCATCTCAAGCTCATATGGAATCTCTACCTCAACATCCTCATTGCTTGGCCAGTATGCCTGTGTAAGCACCCACACAAACTTCTCTGCATCCTTGTTGTAGCTCATAGATATCACCACATCCCCAATCATCGCTTCTGCTTTCCTCACAAAGTCATGATTGCCCTTCCTCCTCATCAGCTGCACCAACTTTCTTTCCTCCTCAGGATTCGGCTTCCCGTTCAGCAGTCGCTTGCCAAGCCTATCAAGATACATCTCATAGAAGCCCTGCTTGCCATCAACCATCTTAAAAAGCGTCCCAAACACTCTCCTCACAAACACAGCCTTGCTGTATGTATCCATCCTTGCCCCAATCATAGCCTTGCTATCATTCGCTCCTCCTTCCGCCTCCCTATGCATCACCGCCGACCTCTTATTCAGGAACACAAACACGCTCTGCGGATCTTCAACCATAGAATCACAGAAATCAAGCAGCCTGGCCTCTAGGCTCGGCCTCAGCTTCGAGCAAGCTGCAGAAAGCTCACGCTTGAGCACCTGTAGGCACTCCTTATCCTCAAGATACCCAACACCAACCACATGCCTTAGCATACAGTAAAACGTATACAATGGCTCAACTCCAGCTCCATATCCACTGGCATTCTCTTCACACTTCTCACGCACATACCTTACAAGAACATCCTTCAAAACAGCATATGCCGACTTCAGCCCACTCAGGTTCTCATACACTACAGACATCCTCTCCAGAAAAACATCCCTGGCAAACCTCATGCTTCCCTCGCCAGCACAAGGAGACGTGCCATGAAGCTCATAAAAATCATTCTCACACGATCCAGATGCCCCAGATCCATTCCTATCCGTCCCCTCATTCACCATCCTTGTAATCTTTTCAACAGGAAGCCTGTACTGGCACAATATTCCATACACCTCCTCAAACAGCCTTTCCTTCTTGTTCATCAAAAACACATCCTCAAGCACACTCTCCACCTTTGGCCACGACTCCTCCAAAAATATCTTGTCTCGCATGCTCCTTTCATGGCATATCTTCTCATTCACATAGAACGAGTATCTTTCTGCATCCATGTCCTGCTGCTTTGCCTCCTCTTCATACTTACTTCTGATCCTCTGTATTGCATACTGCTCATATCTCTGCGTGTAGTACAGCAACGGCTGCTTCTGGTCAGGCACTATCAGCCTCATCGACTCAATCGCCTCCCTCACTTCCTCAGCCTTGCAGCGATTCACAAGCTCTGCCCCAAGCGTTGTGTGCTTGTACTTCATTGTCTGCTGCAAAATACATCTCTCCCACAGCAAAAACCCAAGATCCCGAATCGTCCTTTCTCTTACACACTCATTCAGAAAGTCACACATCTCATCAATTGCACAAATAATCTCCCTGAATTGCCGGAACTTCTCATTATATCCCTGTACCCAGTTCTCTCTCCCAAAAATCTCGGCTCTCATCTCCCGCGCCTTCATGTACATAAAGTCGCCTATCTTCCAATACAGCTTGCTTTCGAACCTCATTGTGCATGACGTGCACACCACATACACCCAGTTATACACCTCAATTGCATTGCAGTTCATTCCTGTCCCAAGCTTCCCCATCTCCTCCTCAATCAATCCCCATATCCTTGCAAACTCATCTTCATCCACAGGATCCCTTCCAACATCCATCCCTCTTTGTTTGTTTACTGCCTTCCTCAATTATCCACACAAAATTGCATGCACATCTTCCACAGTCTTCGTTACCCATAAGCACTAAATACACTACAGCTTCTCAACTGCCTCATGCAGAAATGCTCTTAAAATCTCATTCTCCTGCTCTATCCTCTTCTCCCTATCTAGTAACCTGCAAACTTCATTCTCCAATCCAAGACTCCCTTCCTCAATTTCACTCAGCATCCTCAAAAAGCTTGCAGTGCATCCAGGCTGCTCTCCACTAACACGCTTTTCTCCCTGCATAAACGCACTGCTCCATGATTCCGCTCCCCTGTCATCTCGCATTCGCAAATTCATGTAAAACTCAACAGGCAACAGCCTCTCGAAGCCTCCATCGCCGTGCTCAGGCAGTTCATCAGCCGTGCCTGCAATTCCTACATGGCAGTCTTCAGTGTGCATCCAGGGATGTTAATCACTCTTTTTTTACCCCTATGCAGATAGTGGTAGACACATTCAGACCATCGGTAATAGACAAGGATGGCAAGCTGTACTCAAACGTCTCAAGAGCATGCATGGAGTCAACGGACACGTCGATCATCCTGGACTACAACTCTGTATTGTGCAGGCTGGATTCAAAACACACCGTCGAGATCAAAATACTAAAAGGATTCAATGACAACATCGACTGCCATTACTTGACACACGGAAAAGTGTATTGCGTGGAGAACAAAGGCAGAAGGGCAGTGCTGAAGGCGTCGTTTGGTGGACTACTGCTCGTCATGGATGCACCCAGGGAAAAGATCTGCAGCATCGGAGATAAAGACGATATCACCCTGGCATTGACATTTATTTAGAGCATCCATCATATGGCTCTACTCATCACAGTCATCCTAACCCAATAAAACATTTATTCATCATATGAATTTGTTTGCATGCCTAGGCTGCAGGGCTTGAATGCCTACTTGCAATCAGCCATCTACTAGCACACAAGAATTCAAGTACTCAATGTAATTGCGTCTTTCATACACATATACCTTCCTTCGATTGCAAATCCTCAGCACTTCGTACACAGGAAAGTATCCGTGAATACCGCTGCATCCTTTCAGAACAACAACAGGATGCCCACGAATCGTCGCTGCTTCATCAAACGTAGCCACATACACACCACGCTGCCTAGATCTTGGAACGCCCCGTTTCACTCGGCCATCTCCCTCAAACTGCATGTCGCTCAGTATCATCCTTGTGTTAAGGTCCTGCATCGTATGCCTTGCATCATTCTCATCAGGCGCAATAATCACAACCTGCTCTGCTCCAAGATCAACCATCGAGAAAATACTGGCGCTAATCAGCTTCAGCCTCTCTCTGAACACCTCACAGTCCATCTGAATCAGCTTTATGTTTATCTCAAAATCAAAGAAAATGCACATATTCATTCCATGCGGCACATCCGGCCTTAGATACGACAATGCCACTCCAGGAGCATAGCTCAGCTTTCCGTTATAACACATGCTGCAGCCTTCAACCATGCATTCCTCCCGATTTCTCATCACAATCTTCTTATCTGTAAAAACAACGCAGCTTTCTGTTCCACTCTTCTGTACATCTTGTTGGTTTCCATTCCCATTGCTCGCTCTGCTAAGACTTCCATGCATCCATCTGCAGACATATTCTTCAAGCTCAGCAAGGCTTTCTACCGCATCAAAATGCTGGCAGCACTGCTTCCTCTGTACTATGGACCATGGTGTCTCACACTCATGTACACCTGTTTCATACAGCGCTTTAGCACTGCTATCTACCTTCACCACACACTCCTTCTCATACCCCTTCCACTCATCTCTGCAAATTACCTGAATCTTGACATTCTTGGCGTTTGATCTTATGTACGACTCTGTCCTCTGCTCAAACATCTCCGAGTGGATCACTTTCTCCTCATTCCACACAAAAACCCAGCACCATGCTTTCATCTCAACGCCAATCTTCATCCTCAGCATCTCCTTGACTTTCGTCAGGTCCACAATCACATTGCTACCATTCCAAGGCATCTGCTTCTGTCGTTCTATCCTTTTCTGCAGCATGCAGCATTCCATCGCCATTGCATGCATCTTCTCAAGCACTAGCACATGTCCAAATGCTGTCAAAACCCTCTTCAGGTTCTTGATTACATACTCCGTGTCGCACACCAATGAAAACCTGCTTATACCACGCCCTTTCATATACGCTCTCACAAGAACATTCAGCTTGCACTCAACACACATCTCATACCTCAAGCCCATCTCCTCGCAAAGTTCTTGTATACACTCCTCATCATCCTCTCGGCATCGCAATGTGCAAAACTCCTTGGCCATGAAGCACACACCAAGGATCGAATCGGCACCACTCACATCTGCAATCGCCTCTTGCCATCTCTCCATTGTTTCATGGCACAGATAATACACGCTTGCAATCCTCCCATACTCTGAGCCACAGAGCCGCCATTCCATATAATCATCAGACTGCTTGCATATCCTTATCAATCCCGCACCCTCTAGTCTGTTGCATGCCAATACCATGTAGCGGGCAAGCACATCATCTTCATTCGCAAGATCATCCATGCTCAGGTCATACAGCATTGGATTCTTGAACATCCGTACATACATAAATGTGTTTTTCAGCCACTCAACGCCTGCTGAAATGCTACATATCGCGCCGAGATGTATCTCAGCATTGATTGTGTCTGCTGCATGCCTAAGAAGCCGGCTCTCAATATTTGTGTTGTTCTTCATCAACGAAACATAATGGTCAAGCATCCTTGCAGTCGTTATCAGGCATGCCTCTCCTTTGCTTCCAAACTGAGGCCGCCCTGCCCTTCCAAATATCTGCAGAATATCCAGAATCCCAAGGTCAGCAAACCTTCCCATCACTCCGTCATAAAACCTTGTTCCCTTGACAATCACTGCATATGCAGGTAGATTCACTCCCCATGCAAGCGTCGATGTTGTCACCAGCACCCCAATCTCCTTGCGACGGAACGCTTCCTCCATGTACAGCCTGATCCGTCGGGGAAGCCCTGCATGATGAATGCCAACTCCTCCTTTTATCAGGCTGAGCATGATCCCAGACAAAGCATGGCCTTTGGCACAGGCACCTGCACACAAATCCATCAGAAGCTTTGCAGTCTTGACTGTCTCGCCTCTTGCATTCACAAACACCAGCACTTGTTTCCCCTCATTCAGGTATCCCTGCACTTTTTTCTTGAGAAACTCCTGCTCCTCGCTTTCCTTACTGCCCTTCTTCATTCCAACAATCGACATCCTCAACGGAACAGGTCGGTACTCCTGTCCAAATGCAAACACATGCTCAGCCTTCAGAAAAATCGCCACGTCCATGTAGTTTGGAAGCGTTGCTGAAAGCCCAACAATTCGTATGTGTCGCTGCACTGACTCGATGTATCTCATTATTCTGCACACTACAGCCTCCACAACAGGCCCTCGGTCGTCCTGAAGAATATGCACCTCATCAATGACAAGAAGGCCAATTGTTTCACAAAATACATTGTGTAGCTTTCTTGTTGCAACATCAAGCTTCTCAGGCGTACAGACAATCACATCGCTCTTCAGCACATCCTTTGTATCTGCATCTGTGTCTCCTGTGTACTCAAGAACCTTGGATCCTCCAAACATCCTTCTGTACTTGCAAGCAACTTCTGTTGCAAGTGCTCTCATAGGCACAACATATGCAACCTTGTGCCCCTTCGCCAACGCCCTTAGCACAGCCATCAGTGCAATGTCCGTTTTCCCAGAGCTCGTCGGTGCACACACAAGCAGGTTTCCATCTGTTTGATATGCAGCACGGAACACTTTTGATTGCACAGCATTAAACATTCTGTATTCAAAATACTTTCCATCATCACCAACTGCATCCACCTCAACCAGCTCCGAGCTGCACACATCCGTGGCCACAGGCTCTGGAAACACATATTCTACATAGTGCTGGGTTTCTGATACACTTTCCTGAGGCATGAAGTACTGCTTGTTTGCACATATCGCTATAACTTCGTCGATCATTTCGTATCCAAGCAGCTCAAGCAGCTGCTCTTGGTGCATACTGCTGCTCAGTGCCTGTGCAATCATGCCTGATGTTTCCTCAGCAGATGTTCCGAGACGAGAAGATACCTTCTTGACCAGCTCATCCATCTGAATGGGTGCATACATAATGCACTACACATGCATGCACCAAGGCCTTGACTTGCAAAGAAGCCCGGAACAGAGGACCTCAGGTTTGAAAGAAAGCAATTTTTTCACCCCAGGATGGCAGGAGAAAACAGCCGCAGAAGGAAGGAGCAGACATACGAGAAGGCGAGGAGGCTGTTTGGCACACACAGCAGATTTGCATTGGTTGGCGTTGAGAATGTTGTGTCGACACAGTTGAAGACCATCAAGGAGCAGTGGGGCAAAGATGTTGAGTTTCTGATGGGCAAGAACTCGTCGATGAAGCGTGCACTGCAGGATCTTGGAAAGAGCGAGCTGGAGGTGGTTTTTGAGAAGATCAAGGGCGATGTGTGCTTTGTGTTTTTCAAGAACGATGTGAAGGGAATCAAGAAGGTGATTGACAGCAATGCCAGAGAGGCATGCGCGAAGATTGGAGACACTTCGCAGAAGGAGGTGTGGGTCGAGAAGTGTGTTACGGGGATGCCACCAGACAAGACCTCGTACTTCCAGGTGCTTGGGATTGCAACAAAGATCACGAAGGGAAAGATTGAGATAATATCTGACTACAAGGTGCTGTCCCCTGGGGATTATGTTGGGCCTTCGCAGGCGAACCTGCTGAGTATGATGAACATAAAGCCATTTATGTATAAGATGAATATGTGGTGGGTGTATGAGGACGGAAATCTCTACGAGTCGGCACTTGTGGACATTGAGGAGGAGGATGTCCTGATGAGCATGAGGAGCGCTGCTCAGTGTGTTGCTGCAATGAGCTTAGGCGCAGGATTCATCACGCAAGCAAGTGTGCCGTATGCAATAAGAAATGCGTTTAAGGACATTCTGCATGTTTCTTTTGGTGCGGAGTTTGCTATCAAGGAGCAATCTATGGTTGCGTAATTAAAGAATATGGCTCTTTATTCTGTTGTTGCTATGCGATGTTGAAATGCCTTACGAATGTCGTGCTACCAGGTACTGACTAGCTTGTGTGCCTTACTAATTACTGGCGATGCAGGCTTACCTGGCCTTTTGATGCATGTGGGAGCTTTTGAGACGTGTAGGCCCCAGCATGCATATGTCATGCAGCATCCTGGCATAGCACACAAGTGCATACACCACGCCGATCTTTGGATTCAGCACCATGAATATTGCACAAAAGCACATCGATTCGTTTCTCCGGGTAAACAGAGCCAGAAAGACGGGTGAGATGTAGTACAAAAGCGATCCGAGCAGAATCCTTGCGCATGATACCTCATATTCCATGCATACCCAATCTAATACAAAGTAGACAATTATTGGTACAGCAAGCCAGAGAAACACTGTTCCGTTGATATAAGACCCACCGATCGGCACATAGAAGTAGCTCCCGTATGAATGTGTCCTCACAAACGAGATCGACTTGACAAAGTTCATGAACTGCCGCATGTCTCTGCGTGTTGTTCGTACATGGATCTCCAGGCAGTTTGCCGGTTTGTTTGGCAAAAACACATCGCTGATGCTGAATGCAATTGTCGATGGAAAAAACACCTCTGCAACAAGAAGCAGATCTGAGTTCGGCTGGTGATTCCTCAGTGGATATACTGCCATGTGCATTCTTTTTGAAAACCTAAGGTCAACATCAAACAGGTATTCGCATCTTTCATCAGGCATGTTAAAGTCAACTATCACGTTTATATTTCTGATTTCCATGGCTTTCAATGCAGACACGACCTGGCAGTAGTTTTTTTCGTGTTCTAGATGCGCTTGGATCCTCAGTGTCTGTCTTGGCGGGAGATTGTTGAGAACAAAGCGCCTGGATGCATCGAATGACTCAAAGTCACACGACTCTGGAATCTCAACACTGTTTTTTGCATTCAGATACTCTTCGACTGTCTCTTTCGATGTAATTGTGTTTGACTTCTTGGTGCCAAGCAGCAGCAGAGGCATGCAAGCCAACGCTATTCTGAGTGTGTAGTTATACTTCTTCATTGCACTAACATACTGCGTTATGTTATCAAGAAACGCCATGCCTTTTAATGACGGGGCGATGTGCTTTGCATAAGGTGTGCATGAAGTGTGTCCGTCTGCAGCCAATCGTGCAGTAATTGAAATATTAATCAGAAAGTTGGATTTGTTGTCAAATTGATTTAATGCAGGATGCAGACCTGGCCATGAAGGTTGGAATAAATGGATTCGGAAGGATTGGGAAGCTGGTTTACAGGATTCTGAACGAGAGAGGAATACATGTGGAGGTGGTTAATGATCCGTTTGTTACGCCCGAGTATGCAGAGTATCTTCTGAAGTACGACAGTGTGTTTGGAAAGAGGAGCGAGTATAAGCTTAAGGATGGCAGGATGTGGTATGGCGAAAGAGCAACAACGCTGACAAGCTTCAAAAGGCCCGATGAGATACCATGGAGCATGCACGGAGTGGATGTGGTGGTAGAGGCAAGCGGGGTGTTTACCACAGTTAGTGAGTGTGAGGGGCACAAGGATGTTGCTGCAGTGCTGATAACTGCGCCAAGCAAGGATGCGCCTATGTTTGTGTATGGAGTTAATCATCACGATTATGATATGCAGAGGATTGTTAGTAATGCAAGCTGCACAACGAACTGCTTGGCGCCATTGGCCAAGGTGCTGGACGACAGCTTTGGGATAGTCGAGGGGCTGATGACCACTGTGCATGCAGTCACTGCAACACAGAACATAGTTGATGGGCTGGGGAAGTGCCGTAGGAGCGGGAGGTCTGGGATGAGCAACATCATTCCTTCAAGTACGGGAGCAGCAATGTCTGTTGGAAAGGTTATTCCCTCGTTAGCAAGCAAGCTAAACGGAATGGCAATGAGGGTTCCTGTTTCGAACGTAAGCGTTGTTGATCTGGTGTGCAGAACACAGAGGGAAGCAACGATTGAGCAGATAGCAGATGCGGTTGACAAATACTCCATCGCAAACAACGGGATCATGGGGACAACAAGAGATTGTGTTGTAAGCAGCGACTTCATTGAGGATTCAAGAAGCTCGGTATTTGATGTTGGCGCAAGCATGGCAATGGGAACCAACTTTTTTAAGCTGATATGCTGGTATGACAATGAATATGGATACTCGTGCAGAGTATGCGACCTGTTGCAGTATGTCTACATGAGGCAAGCACAGAAATAAGCGTGGTATAGCTGTGATACCGCAGTATTAGTCCATTAAGTAAAGTGTGTATTTGCGTTTAATTTGAATTGAAATACAAGTTGGCTGCATGCCTATCTGTTCTTCTTGCCTGCAGTCGATCCTCGCAATATGGTTGATTCCTTCGAGAGCTCGGTGTCAAAGTTGGATTCCAAATCGCCAGGAATAAACAAAGGCTTAGCTCGCTTGTTAACAACACTTTCCCAGTCAACACCGTGGAAGTATTCATGGGCCTTTATGTCATTGGCATCGGCCTCGCCATGCCCTATTCTCTTTGCAGGATTCTTTTCAAGCAAGCGGTCTATCAATGCTCTCACCATGCCATCATCGATTCTATCGTAGCAGTGGCTTGCATTCATGATCGAGCTGCATATTTCTCCGTTTGTAGATCCGTGGAATGGCGGATCCTTCTCATACAGCTCATACAGAACCACACCATACGACCACCAGTCTGAGTCCTTAGTGTATCCTTCGCCTGCAATCACTTCAGGCGCAAGAGTGTCAAGAGTCCCGCAGTATGTAAACGTTGTGCCAAACGGGCCTATGTTTTCCTTGCACAGCCCAAAGTCAACAAGCTTAATGTGCCCGTCTCCAGAAAGCATGATGTTTTCAAGCTTCAGGTCTCTGAATATTATCCCTTCCTTGTGCAAAAACTCAATCGCCAGCAGCACTTCGGATGCATACTGCTTGATCTGCTCTTTGCAGAACGAGTTATTCATTACATGGTGCAGTAGGTCCCCGCCAGAAAGATACTCCATCACAAGGAATACATTCTCTGCGTCCTGGAACCAGAACTTCATGCTTATCAGAAACGGATTGCTCGATAGCGAAACTTTCCTAAGCACGTTTCTTTCAACCTCAAGAAACATCAGGTCCTTCGTGTTCACAAACTTTTCCTTCCGAAGGATCTTGATCGCCAGAGGCTCTTCATAGTCACTGTGTTTTGCCAGCACAACCTTCCCAAAGCTTCCTCTTCCAAGCACTCTTATGATTTCAAAATCCTCTATCGATATCTTTGGACTGTCGTCCTGCTGAATCAGCGGTGGTGCACACCACATCATCTGTCTTCTAATTGCAATCTCAATACTGCATGCATCGCATATCATGTATTTACAGCGCTCATGAAATCTTTGTGTGCAAAAAACACATCTCCAGCAGTCCTCATCGGCCAATGCTATTCTTTTTGTGCATTTCCTGCAATACTTGAATTCGGAAGATCCGTCTGCATCTCCGCACTCAACAGGCTTGCATTCGTCTGCTTGCTCGTTTTCATGCATACTGAGTGCTTAAAACATAAACACATACTGCATTATGGTGTGCCAGTACATCTGAAACGCCGTTTGCATACGCATAAACCCTGCACACTGATTACATTCACCTGGTGCTTGTACGCTATTGCACTTTGCTCAGGTATTCAATAACATCCTTGGACTCTCTTAGTCCGTCTTCTGCATTCCTGGAAGACATCATCTCCAGCATCATCTTCACCATCTTTGATTTGAACACTTCGTCTTCGCCTGCTGCTGCCACTACCTTCTTTGCATTGCTTACCGCATTTCCCTCGCCAAGTATAAAGTCCATGCAATGCCTCTCAAACTCTGCCTTTGCTTTCTTCTCTGCCTCGCCTATCTCGCTCACATCAACTCCACATGCTGTCTGAACCCTGGTAACAACCTTCCATTTCCTGATTGCCTCATCAAGCCCCTTGGAGCTACCTTTTTGCAGTATCCTGCCCATTCCCAGAACAGCAGCCTTGACCCTGAGCTCTGCATTGCTTGAGCCACGTAGAATCCTTTCCAGCTTCTCAACTCGCAGGTCTCCTCTCTGCACCTCCTTGCACAGGTACTCTTCTTCCAGTCTCGCATACATCTTTCGAAGCTCCTTCTGGAAGCAAAAATACACGCTTTCTTTCGCTTCATCCACTTCTCTCCAGCACAGTCCTAGCCCATTTAATGTCTCAATACCCAGAAGCTCATACACATTCTCCACAAACTCCTTCACAATCATCCATACACCATTGAATATTGCAGAAGCATCTCCCTCAAGCCCCATGCTCTCGAGAAAGCGCATCTCGCACTGCACAATGCTTCTATACGAATCTGAAAATGTCTGAAGCGCATCATTGACCTTCTCCTGGCTTGGCTTATCCCTGATGAGCCGCAGCATGGTCTTCATGTGTGCGTCAACTTCTCGTTCATACAGCTTTCTCGAATGTGCCATGTACATCGAGCATACCACTGCATAGTAGTCTTTCTGCTTGCGAGAATACTCAATTATCTTTCTGAACCTTTTTAGCAGGCCATACAGACCCTTGTGCACCTTCAGCTGGTGGGCATGCTCGTTGCCAGCCATAAACTTTCCCATGTATGCTATGAACCGCTTGTAGAACTTTCGGAGTGCATCATTTATCCGCTCCTTCTTTTCGCGCACAATCCTGATACTGTATTTCTCGGCATCGAGCCCGTTCAGCACATCCAATGCTCGCTCCATCTTGCATATTCCATCGATGCTGTCGAAAGACTCTACCTCAAGTGCTATGAAATGCTCCTCCTTGATCTCCACGTTGTACAGCAGCTCTTTCAGATGCTCGTATATTTGTGTTTGGTACAGAATTTCGTTTTCTAGCTTCATGTTTTCATCCTCAACCTCCCTTAGCTCGTTTGAAAGCGACTCTAACTTGATTGTGTACAGCTCAAGGCTTGAGTATATTTCCTTGCACTTCGCATCGATATGCCTGAGATTGGGATACACCCCAGGCATCTCGTTCATGCATGCATCAAGGTTGATGATTTTATTTCTGTCGATTGCATCGTTCTTAGAGTCAAGAAACAGCTCGTCGATTTCACTCTCCATTACAGGGCTGCCACTGTTAGGCATTATGCCAACAAATGCTACTTCATGTGCAATCATGCCAAGCACTGAGTTACTGCATGTATTCAATCATGTGCTAGGATTGCATAAGCCATGACGTGCATTACATAAAATCAACATACGTGGCCCTGAATGATTCTGATTGTTCGTGGCCCGGATGGCCAAAGACGAATGCAGGTTGAGGATGCAGAGGCAATAGGGCGTCAGCTCAAGAATGCATTTGGAGTCGAGTCGCTATGTGTGTTTATGCAGCCTGATGCCGTGGACAAGATCGATGAAGAGCAGTCGCCGGATGCATTGGGGCTGAAGAACGGAAGTGTTGTGTATGTGCAATACGATGTGCCAGCAGGCATGCATAGCAGTAACCGGCAGGCATCTGCAGCACAGGATTTGCCGGTGAGCGAAGGGGCGGCTAGGAAGCGTACTACTGAGCGAGGGATACATAGGGAACGGGACGAAATGATGTGTCAGCATGACTCAAGAGCAATGTGCAGTCATTGTGCACCATTAGATCCATGGGACGAGCGATACCATAGAGAAAACATGATCAAGTATCTTAGCTTTGGATCGTACAAAGAGATGATGAGAAGCAACAAGAAGGAGATGTGTGCAGAGAGCTATACAGTGGCTGTGTGTGGTGACCATGGGCAAAACACACGATGTGCTCGGTGCCAGGAAAGAAGCATAATTCTGATGCCACAGACATTCCGGATGATTGACCATGTTGAGTTTGACGGCCAGTATCTTGTGGAGAACTTTATCAGGGGATGGAAAGACAGCCGGAGGCAAAGAGTTGGGTTTCTTGTTGGAAGATACAGAGAGTATGATTTAGTGCCGTTGGGCATGAAGGCCGTGGTATCAGGGATATGGGAGCCTGAGCAAGAGAACTATCCGGATGGATTTGTTGTGCTAGATGAGTGCAGTGAATTTCTATGTGGAAGTGGGCTGGAGGTTGTTGGAATGATCTACACAGACATACATGTGGAAGGAGGCGAGATGAGGAGCGATAAGGTTGCAAGAGACTATTTTTTGTCATCTCTTGAGATACAGTTTATTGCGAGGATGCAGCAGAAGCATCCATATGTAATGACTGATGGCGGCAGAACGGATGAGTTTGGATCCAGGTTTGTAACGATAGTTGCTACTGCAGATGCCGAGGGAAATGTTGTGCTTAAGGAGTACCAGGTGAGTACACAGTGCATGGCTCTGGTTAAGGAAGATGCAGTGCTTGCAACAGAGGAGCCAAGGATGTTTATGGCTGCAAAGGATATTGTCTACCGAACAAAAAGCAATGCAGAGATGGTTAAGGCAGATCCGTATTTTCCCGGCGATTTTTTCATAGTGAGGTTGACGCATGGATGCAGGCATAATCCGATGTTTAGCAATGAGGAATATGTTCCCGCGAAGATGAGTAGGAAACGAATGGCAGAGTGTTTTGGAGGGGACTTTTCGATGCAGAAGCTTTCTAGCTTCAGTTTGCTGATGAAGATCCGAGGAGTGCTTGGGAAGTGGAAGGAGCTGTTTAATAGCATTGTTTCTGGCGATGGCCGCATGTTTGAGGAGGTTTTGAGGAGTAAAGAGTTCAAGGTGTTTGCGAGTGGACTTGAGAAGTATGTTTGTAAGAGCTGGGCATGCGAAAGGTGTACGTTTATCAACGAAGGCAGCCTGAATGAATGCAAGATGTGTAGGGCAGAGAAGATGTGATAATAAAGTTTAGTGTGATGTGAGTGATGAGATTGTGTGGACAGCGATGTGTATTGGGGTGAGTTGAATTAATGCAGAGCCGTGTTTTCCAGATTTTTCCGGACTTTTCGAAACGAAAAAAATGATATAATAATTGCTGAGTCAGAAGACTAATGTCTGCAAAGGATTCAAAAGGATACTACAAGGTGCTGGGGCTGAGTCCTGGAGCATCTTTAGCGGAGGTGCGGAGGGCGTATTCAACGCAGCAAGCGAAGTTCCACAGGGACTCGCCTCTCATACGAGAGAAGCTGCGTGCAGCAAAGAGCGATGATGACAAGGCAAAGATTGAGGAGGAATGCAAGGAGATGTCTATGAAGTTGAATATGGCAAAGGATGTGCTGTTTAACGAGAAGAAGAAGAAGGAGTATGATAGCGGAATGGGGGAGTTTGGAGCGCAATTTTCTGCAGGGAACTATTCTGACATTTTTGACATATTTAGCCAGTTTACTGGAGGTAGCCGGGGAGCACAGAAGTCGAATAAGGCAAGCTCGACAAAGTATGTGATCAATATTTCGCTGAAGGAGGCGTTTTGCGGAAAGACATCGAAGTTTAATGTGAAGCGGGAGAAGATGTGCCCGAGCTGCGACGGGAAGGGTGCAGAGAGCACCACTGCATGTAAGAAGTGCAATGGAAACGGGGTGTACACTAGCCGCAGGAGTCTTGGTGGATTTGTAACGCTTGCGGAGACACGGTGCGATGGATGCTCGGGCAAAGGATATTTCATCAAGGGAAATGCATGTGGAGAGTGTAAAGGAGGAGAGTATGTGCAGGAAAATATAATTCTTGAGGTCAGCATCAAGCCTGGAGTTGTGAAGGGAGAAAAGATAGTGTTTGAGGGGATGGGGGATCAGAGAAAAGGGCAGGCATCGGGGGATGTGATTTTTATTATTGATGTGCAGGATGATAGTAGGTTTGAAAGGCGTGGCAGTGATATTATTGGAAAGATAGATATTCCTCTGTACACGGCGATTGGAGGAGGCGTGGTGTATTTTACGCATATTGATGGAAGGCAGCTTGAGATAAATGTGGATATGTTCAAGACGTTTGATGTTGCGGTGAAGATACGGGGAGAGGGATTCAAGACACAAAGGGCAGGGACTGGGTCGCTTATTCTGAAGCCCAACATCATTATTGGAGGAGATTCTGATAGAGCAAAGATTCTGGAGGTATTGAGTGCGCCAAGCAGTAAACCTTACGGAGCCACAACGAAGGTGAAGGGCGAGTTTGGAAGTATTCCTGAGCCTGAAAAGGAGCACGAGGATGCTTCTGACGATGGAGGCCAAAGTGCCAGGAGTTTCTTCAATGGCTTCAGTTTCTTTTAGTGATGAATAAACGTTAACTTATATGAGATTTCGAAGTGTCGAAGGAGAAGAGGAGATGAGATGAGCTGATTTAAAGTTGAAAGCAGTAGCCCTGAGGGATGGATGACCGTACGATTGAGCAAAAGATTGTGAATGAAGAGTACAAGGTGTGGAAGAAGAATGTGCCATATCTGTATGACCTGCTATTCAGCCACACATTGCAATGGCCGTCTCTTTCTGTGCAGTGGTTTCCGGATGTGAGCAGAGATGAGGAGCGTGCAAGGACGACGCAGCGATTGCTGCTGAGTACTCACACCAGCGGCAGTGACGAGGAGTGTGTCATGATAGCAAAGCTTGATTTTCCTGATGAGTTTGACGAGGACATGAATGGAGAAGAGGAGGGGAATGGAGAAGGAGACATGAAGCTCAAGGTTTTGCAAAGGGTTCCAGTGCTGGCGGAGGCAAACAGAGTCCGATACTGTCCATCGGCATGCAACATACTAGCTGTGCGGTCTGATCTTTCGGATGTGCATGTGTATGACTATACAAGGCATTTGTCGCACGAGAAGATTGCCAAGCCAGACATGACACTCAGGGGGCATGCATCTGGAGGGTTTGGAATTGCATGGAACAACATGGCTTCTGGAGAGCTTGCAAGCTGTGGAGAGGATATGTGTGTGTGTGTGTATGACATACTTGAAGAGTCTGCAGTGATTGAGCCAAGGACTGTGCTGAAAGGGCATGACGCAGTCGTGAATGACTGTAGCTTTAGTTTTTTTGATAGGAAGATGCTTGCGTCTGTTGGAGATGACAAGATGCTAATGGTGTGGGATGCAGGAAGCGGAGAGGTGGTGCATTCAGTCGATGCGCACACAACTGATGTTTTTTGTGTGAAGTTTTCGCCTGTTGATGTGAATGCAATTGCAACGTGCTCTGGAGACAAGTCGGTGAAGATATGGGACATAAGGAAGTTGGACACAGCGGTGAATGTTCTCTTGGGGCATTCGAAAGATGTATTGAGTGTTGAGTGGTCTCCGCACTCGTCTACAATGCTGTGTTCTGGAGGTGCTGACAGGCGAGTGATTGTCTGGGACCTGGCACGTGCTGGAATAGAGGTGAGTGAGGAGTACAGAGCAGAGGGCCCACCAGAGCTGAGGTTTATGCATGGAGGGCATACAGGCACGGTATGCGATGTATCATGGAACCCAGCAGAGCCGTACGAGGTTGCAAGTGTGTCTGAAGACAATGCTTTACAGGTCTGGCAGATGACGAAGGATGTGTATGATTAAAGTGCATTTGAAATTGTTTATTGAGGCTATTGCTGGCTGGCAATTCAGTGGCAGAAGCTAATAGCTGATTTTATACAGAACAAATACTTGGAGAAGACCTCCTATTAATCCTCCAGAATATTCTGCAGTGCAATAAATCCAGAACTTTGTCCATGTGTTTGACATGATTACTGGAGCAAACAGTAGTGCAGGGTTGAAGACACCACCTGATGTTGCAAGCCCAAGGAATGCGAGAAAGCCAAGAGTCAGCCCTATGCACAATGGTGCAGTGACTCTGCGATCCACAGGCTCATCTTCCTCAGGGTTCACAAAGTTTCCATCCACATCGACCTTTGGCTTGTATGGGTTCACACCAACTGCAAATGCAATATGCACAAGAATTGCTGTGAAGAAAAACTCAGACCAGAAGATATTAAGGTTGTCTCCGCCAAAGTCTGCAGGCTTTGGTCTGATCACATCCAGTGTTGCCTTATACTCCAGTGGCGAGCATGGAAGAAGTGCACATACAGCAAGGATGAATCCTATATACTGTGCCAAGATGTATCCAAGACCTCGTATTATCCCAAGCTTTCCAGTAAGAATGGCAGTAAGCGTGATTGCAGGGTTGAAATGTGCAACAGTCACGTCACAGAACGAGTATATCACGCCCACCCCTGAAAACCCAACTGTTAGTGCAATTACCACGCTTGCAGCACTCTGCAGACTCAGAGCAGACCCCAGCAGCGCAGAGTACACTGCAAATCCAAATACAAAAGATGCAAACATCTCTCCAAATGCAGATTGGACTCCCTTAAGCACCTCTCCGGCCATTTGTTTATATACTATTTCTCCTTAAATAGTTTTATTTCTGCTAGAAACACCTGATCTTTATACAGCAAAACACTTATCTCTGATAAATTAAATTATATTGGTGCCGGCTCGCACAATTGTAATGCATCTGTTTCAGTATCTGTTTCATATGCACGCTTATATTGCATGTGGTTCCATTTTGTTATATCACAGCGCACATTTCAGGTAAATATCCTGATCATTCCCATAGATGGTTAGCAATCTTCAAAAAAAGACTTTCTCTGCACGGTGCTGCAGATATCTCGGATCTGTATGCAATCGCCGTGTACACAACAAATATCGAAAACACAATCAATGTGTATGCATGCATGTCCTTCAGTGCCTCCTCCATCATATTCTTTTGCCATACCCCTTGCAGCATCCCCGAGCAAAACATCAGCGAAACCAGTACAAAGATCGCGCAGCACAACGGATACGCCCTAGAAACATCGACCTGCTTGTTCCACCTCACATTAAACACAACCACACTGAGCATCACGGCCATCACACAAAAAGGCATCGCCATGTCGCCAACCTTAATCATCTCCTCTTCAAATTCAGGCTTGTCAATCAGCGCTTTCATCACAACAATCGCAAACATTATCATCGACCCAAAAAATCCTGCAGACTCCGCATTCTCAATCCTGTCGAGCCTACTGGCAATTATCGTCCGTATTGGTATTGCATTTCCAAGATGCATTATGCTTATGGCTCCCTTAACAAAGTACTTCCTTGTAAAAAACGGAATTGCCTCCATTGAGAATCCATACTCCTCCACAAACCACATCTTGTAAAGCATAAATGAAAAAGTGTAGAACATCGTGATCACATATGTAGACTTCGGATGCTCCACATGGCATGTAAACACATACAGGGTAATGTGGTGCATCAGAAAAATCAGGCATACAAACAATGAGTTTGCATACAGAAGCCTTGAATACATATACACAATCCAGATATCCATCACTGCGTTGATTACTCCTGCATGCAGAGACTTGAATGTTATTTTTGACTTCGACTGGATCAAATTCACTAGGTTGAGAACCGTAAGAACACCAGAAATGCACAGCCCAGATGTTATGAAAAACGCACAGTTCTTAATCTTGCATACATAATTGCCAATGCACAGACCCACAAACAGTCCTATGCAAACTCCTGTGCTGGCTATGGCACCGCCGTATTCCTTCATCATATATGGGTAATCGTTATTGCTCTTCTATGCTTCGGAGAGATCAGATCCCTTATGCAATCATTGCTCAAAGGAGTAAAAGGAGTCGAGTCTAGTACTGCTGTTGCTCAACATTCAACCTACTATGAGGCATGGCACAGTAAATTAATGCGGCATCCTGATTGCATTCACTCAGCTCAGCATATCTATTTCAAGCTCGGCCTCAAAAGTTGAACCTGGCTTTCCAACTCCTCAACCACTTTGCTCAGAATCTTTTCTCCATCATTCACGTTCTCTGTAGCCACAGAAACCTTCACAAGATGTAATCTGTCCACTGATTCGTCTTCACTCTTCCACTTAGAAACCTCAACTTCAACTGGATGCCTAAGGAAGCTTACCACTGATACATTGTTTTCCCTCACAAACGCAAATCCAAGTGCAGATAAAAACCCCTCTAGTCCTCTAGGTGTACTAACCAGTGTCTTCTGCACCACCGAGCAAAAAGATATCCTGCTCTTGTTCATGTCAGGTAAACTCCGGCTCACCAAATACATTTTCTCGTCTTCCACAGCAACAGTCAACAATCTTGATCCATTTGAGTAGATTTTCTCCCTAGCCACCGTGTCAGTTCTGTCATAGAACCTCAGGTACGAGCACAATCCGTCAATCCTCTCCAAATACCCAAACATCGAACATTCAATCATTTGCCAGGGATTCCTCACAGAATAGTTCATTTCGTTTTATTCATGCAGGGTATCATACATCTTGGATGACACGAAAATACAAAGTCGTCTTGCATTATCCTTTGTAGCGGTGTATCAAAGCCAGGGATCATTGCATATTCGCCGCACATGTCGCATGGCAAGCTTTCATAATCCATGTACATCGCCATCAGGCCAGCCACTGCTTCTGCCTGTTGTTCAACCGGGGCCTTTCTTGCTATGCATAGCACATGCCTATCAGCATTGCAATCTCCCATCGCCACAGAAACGACACCATGTGTCTCGCTGTACAGAAACTCGAATCTCCCAATTGCGTATCTTGTTATTCCATTGATGCAGTCCACGGCCTGTTGCTTATGTGCTTGGTTCTTTTTCAAGGCATTTGTTTTTGTTGCAAATGCCATTAGCCTTATGTATGCTTTATGCACATCGGCCAGCATATGTCTAAACGTCTCTTCGTGATTGATTTCTGCCTTCAGCTTCGACAGCGATGCCATAAGCTCACACGCTCTCAACCGTATTTGCTGTTTGAGATTCATCGGCCGGGGTTGCACTGCACGCCATCAGTAGTGCTGTCAACACAAAAACTTGCCTGGGTTTACCCAGCACATGAAAGCCGACCTGAAGAAGTACGAGGATATGCTGAGAAAAGTAAATGCAGAGGAAAAAACACTAAGATACAAAAAAAGAGTCTTGGTGTTTAGTGGTGGGGATGCGGTTGCTCTGCTCAAGAAGAACGGAACTGATGCCGAGCAAGCAAAGTGCATTATGCAGGAGCTTCTTGACGAGAGCATTCTGTTCAAGGTTGCTCTGAACAGGAAAAACACAAGGGATTGCGATGTGGTGCTTGACCAGAAGTTCAACGAGGAGCATGCATATGTATTTGCCGATGAAAAGACATCCAACACGTCATTTCTGATATGTGGAGCATTCGTATTGATTATACTCTCGATTGTGCTGTTCCGAATGTGGCCAAGGCACATCCAGCAGCGCACATTTTCGCTCATAATGTATCCGCTTGGAGGTTTTGTTGCATTCATACTTGTGACTGCAGTAATACGCTTTGTTTTGTTTGTTGCAACATACTTTCTGCATCCTCCAGGAATATGGCTGTTCCCAAGGCTGTTTGAGGACGTGGGCTTTTTTGAAAGCTTTGTTCCCGTATGGGAGTATCACGGGAAAAGGACAAAATGCAAAGCCGAATAAACTGCCTGATGTATCTGAACTTGTTTACCGTTTTATTCAATGCTTTTCTGCCTATAGATGAAATGAGCAAGATGAAACTCCTGTGTGGATCGCTGCACAAACATGGAGTTTCCGCAGCGATTGATGGCAAACATGCTTTTGTTCTTGATTGGAATGCCATATGCATATCTTCCTTCACTGTCCAAGTATTTTATTGGATTGCTTGGATCGCTGAAGTCCACGTCCTGCTCATCATCAGATCCATTCCTGCCAAGCCCATCACATTCTTCATTATCAAGTTCACATTCAGGTTGGCCATTGCCAAGCGCCATGAAGTATATGTCGTATGCATCATCACTGATTGCATTACACCGGTCGTTCAGCAGAATGTAATCTCCTATCCTGAAGTGGTATATGCCTGCATCGACCAACACCCATCCATCAACTTCAGGCACCACCATCTGCTGCACCACAAGTCGTTCAACTCTACGCGAGTAGAACGGCCCTTCGGCATGCCTCGACACACATCTAAAGTCATACTCCATTCCTGGATAGAACATAGCCATGCTTTCTCCAAAATCAATCTCTATTGCAAATACTTGCTGCTCGCTCGGAACATTCATTCGCACCAGAGGATACTCTTCGCTCATACTCACATCTGCAAAGCTTAGCCAGCCACTAAATGCTCTTCTACCATTCTCCTCACAATACTCCACCTCGTGAAATGAAATCTCCGATACCTCAAACACTACTAGTCGATTTGCTCTTACATCTATTCTCTTCGAAACACTCATCGCATCATTTTCATACAGAACAAGTCCTCCAGATGCATGGTCCTGCAGATAATACACAAATGCATACTTCCTATGCTCAGTCCGATCATCGTGGCACAGCAGATAATCCCCTGATCTGTAGTACGATCCAAAAAGATCGATCCAGCCACCGCTGGTGTCCACTACACTGCCAAGCAAGTCCATCACACAGCCTCTGAACTCTTCAAGATCATCCTGGTTCTTCAGATCGTCCGTCTGCAGAAACCTGAAAAGATCCGTGTGCTGCTCCTTGAATGCACAGCTTGCATGAATCCTCTTTACTTTTTCAAACATGCTAGCATTAAGAAACTCATCTTTTACAAAATGTAGAAACGGTTGTGCGTGCTTCTTCATCAAACAAGGATCTGCAAACATAAGAACATTCAGTCTCCAACGCTTATTTAACACATTTAATACTCAGCTAGTCCTCAGCTTCCCAACATCGACAACCAAGAACCTCGATACATTCTCTGTCTTGTACACTCCCACCAGCGTGTCGCTAAGCTCAAACATGTCGCTCCTCAGGCTTATCACAACAAACTGCGCAGTTGTTGACATCTCCTTTATGTAGTTCGCAACCACACTCACATTCCTATAGTCAAGTGCCGCATCAATCTCATCCATCACATAGAACGGAGATGGCTTGTATCTATGCAATGCAAAAATCAGTGCAAGACTGCTGAGCGTCTTCTCTCCCCCGCTAAGCTTACTAACACTCTTCCAGCTCTTCTTAGGTGGCATTACACTCAGCATAACTCCTTCACTAAACGGATCAAGATGGTCAACCAATTCTAGCTCTGCATTCCCTCCATACGTTATTTCCTTGTATATCTCTTTCAAACTCGTCGATATCTGCTTCAAGCCATCAGTAAACTCATCCAGTCTTCTTTTCTTCAGCCCTTCAATCCTATTCCTTATTCCTTCCATCTTCTTCTTCATGCCATCACACTCATCTCTTGCTTTCATATACTCATGCTTGGCACCCTCATACTCCCTAAACACCTCACAATCTATTTCATTCGCCACCACTCCCTTCATCTTCATAACCATGCCTCCTAGCTTCTTCCTCATCCTTTCAACACTCTCGTCATCCATCATATCCACTCCACCCAGCGGCTCTACACTACTGCCAATCACTTCCCCATACATTTTCATCTCAGAACAGATTCTACCTGCGCATTCTTCTCCTCCACTCACTTGCCTTGCACTATCCTCAATCCCATCCACTATACCCTCCATCATATTCTTCAGCTTAATCTCAGTGTCATATCCACTCTTTATCTCCATACGCAGCGCACTCACCTCTTCCTCCAGCCTTCTCTGCTCTGCAACACAGCAATTGTACTCATCTTGACTCTTCTGCATACTACTTCTGATCTCACAAACATCCTTTGGCTTTATCTCGCAAATCCGCTTCTTAATTCTCCTCATCTCTTCTTCCTTATCTACTGCATGCCCTTCTTCCATCTCAGACATCCACATCCTCAGTTCAACATTCCTCCTTTCATGCCCCTCAATCTTTGAATTCAACATAATCAGCCGTTCTTTCTTCCTCACCACATGCTCAGGCATCAGACCTTCCACTTCTTTCCTCAGCACACAGATGCTCTTCTTGATACATTCCACCTCTGAATCAGCAAGCTCGACTTCCCTCCTTTCATCAACTCCACCAACATTCTCCATTTCTCTACACACAATCTCGCTCTCTGCAACATACCTTTTGCGCTGCCTTTCAAGCATTTCTCGTTCCTTCGCATTTCTAATGCCACAAAGCTCTCCAATCAACTTGCTTCTCAGCTCATTCATCTTCTCACACGCCTGCTCAAGATCCCCAATCTCCTTTGCTCGTCCTCCTCGCCTCCCTCCACTCATCACGCCGCTCTTCTCAATCAGCTTCCCATCAAGCGTAACCACCCTTCGCCGCTGCCTTCCAAACGCAATCCGCTCCGCAACCTCAAGATCCTCACAAACAACTGTGTCCTTCATCACAAAGTAAAAACACTTCCTAAACTCTTCGCTGCATTCAACAAGCGAGTACATGTACGGAACGCCTTCGTCTCTAAGCATAGGCACCTCTCCCATCCTATCAACAATCATAAACACTCCTCTTCCAACGCCAGATCTCTTTATCTCTGCCACACACCTCTCTGCAGTGCTTGTGGTATCAACAACAATTCCTCCAAGCCCCTTTCCTGCTGCAAACAAAGCCCTAGCATACTTCACATCAACACTTCCAAGATCACGAAGCCTTCCATGCACCCCAGGAATATCCTTTATCTTTTCAAAAATCTCCTTTTCTTTGCTTTCGCTCTCCACATTCTCCTTGTACTCCGATGCCCTCTGCATCCTCTTTCCAATCTCTCTTCGTGTTTTCTCAATGTCCCTCTCCACTTCTTCTATCTCTGCCTTCACTTGCAATTCTTCCTTGCTTCCACTCGCTCTGCACCCTTCAATCTTCTCCATTCTTGCATCAATGTCTTTGATCTTTTGCTCAAAATCACGCTTACGATACCCTAGCTGCTCAATCCGCTCCTCATATCTCCTAAACACCCCACACACTTCGTCTTTTTTCTTCAGTGCCTGCAACAGGCAAGCTTCTGCCTCTTTTATCCTTTCGATCTTTTCTCTGGAGATCCTCTCTACTTTGTGATGCTCTTCTTGAATCTCCTTCCTTATCAGGCTTGCTTCTTCTCCACAGCTCCGAATCTCCATCTCGTTATTCCCCATCTCGGTCTTATACTCGGCCTCTTTCATCTGTATAATCCCATCCATCTTCTTTGCCTCCTCAATTTCGCTGTTCAGTCCAACAACTCGTTTCTGTAGCATTGCCTTCTCTTCTTCAAGTATCATATTCTCCCTTTCCTCCTTCTGATACTTTCTTCTCGTTTCTATATACCTGCACTCGGCATCTCGTGTCTTACTGCTTGCATTTGCTACATCCCTCTCCATATTGCTCAGCATCGCCTTGTTCTCTGCAATTCTGATCCCGAGATGCTCAATTGCACCCCGCACTTTCTCCTTCTCCATCTGCAGTCTTGCAATTCTTCTTCGTCCAGCCTCTGCATCTAGAACGTGCAAGTCTCTGCTGTGGCACAGATACTTCAGTCTTTCCTCAACTGCTTTCATCCCTTCCTGCCTTCTCCCCTCCGCATGCTCATACTCCTTCGTATAAAACCCCAGCATCGCTGCCTTTCCCTCATACTCATCCAGGCACTTCTTCATCTCCTCCTCGCCATCCTCAATATCAGCCTTGTATCTGCTTGTCCCAATCACATCCTCCATATACTCAAGCAGCCCTTCATTCGCAGGCTTCATCATTGCAATGCTCTCAATCTCCCCCTGCAATATCAGAAACCTGTTGTGCTCCATGTCAACACCCTCGCTGCTCAACAACCCTGCCACCTCCACAGCGCTCCTCTCGTCTCCATCAACAAGATACCTCGACTTCCGCGACTGGTACACTTCTCTTCTGATCGTAAACTTGTTGAACTTCAGCTCCACATAGCACATGTCTTCCCTGTGATCTCCACTGTATATCAGCTCCCTCAAGGACGAATGGCGCATCTTCTTTGCACGGAATCCAAGCACAAACAGGATTCCATCAATGATGTTGCTCTTGCCCGACCCGTTCGGCCCAACTATTGCTGTAAACCCAGGGTCCAGCCCATCCACGACGTGCGTTCCTCTGTAGCTCTTGAAGTTATGAACAGCCACAGACTCCAATCTCAGATCCATGGCTTAGGCTTCATTGTGTGTTTTGACATAAATTTTTGCAGTGCACAGCCCTTGCCGGCAGCTGGAAGCTTTCGATTAGGGGCAGATGCCCTTGGGAAGGTCTGAGATGAGACATGTGCCGAGAGGGTGCCTGGTTAATGCCAGGAGCTGTCCCTAACAGAAAAATACACTTGCCATGTGACCGGAAGGGATGATCATGGGGAGTTTGGAAAGTGGACGGCGTCTTAGTGCGAATAGTCAAACTCGAAAGGCAGCAGTGTGCTGTAACCCAATTCAGACTACTCTCCAGCGGCCGGTGTTTCATATAATGTGTTTGTATATGCTCTGACTCTGTCTATGCTGATTCTCCCGAATATTTTTTGTAAATGCTGAGGTGGATCTTGAATGTGCTGCGAAATGCACGAGGGATGCATGAACCATCATTAGATACGAATTCTTCCTACCTATTTGGATTAAACCTGTATATTTGCAAGTATATGGTGTGCAGGATGTGCTTGTGAATTGAGCTTATCGTACAGCGCTGTACAAAAACTCGTGGTCGAATGGCCTTTAGATGGAGCGTGCAGAAATCGAAAGGATGCTTGACCAGGAAGTGAGTTGGGCAAATGCACCGCCAGCGCCGATTCCTGGGATGGGCTACATCGACCCGAAGATAAAGCGCGACTTTACATCGTTTGATGGGAGTCTTGAGGATGTGGTTCCGAAGCAACTGCACACAGACCTTCTTGATGCACTTGGGATTGACTTTATGGAGTTGGTGATAAAAGACATAGAGAGCGTGCAAGAAAAAGCAGCAGAGGAATGCACAGTGGCCAACGACAACAAAAATGAGGTTTTTGAAAGAGAAAGGCTAAAGATAAGCATGAGCAAGATATTTGACTACCAGAAGTATATGCAAGAGTCTTTTGAGGATGTCAATGCAATAGTGCATCCCACAGACAAGAGCATCCGAATTGAGGCGGTCTATGAATTGTTTCCAGATACAAATGCAGAAAGCGTGATTGTTCAGTCTGAATGTGAGGATGTAACTGAATGCACATTCAGCATTGAGCAAGATGAATCGTCCAGTTTGTTTGCAAAGGTATTGATGGCTGATGGCAAGGTATTTGCATGTCTTCCTCAAAGAACAGATGAGTACATTGCTTTGCGTGTAGAGGACGGTGTAGCTTACTACACGAGTGTGACAACACTTTACCGACTGCAAGAGCAAAGAAAGCAGAAAAAGAACAGCTGAACCTGCTTGTATACGACGAATGAAGGAGAGGGTCAGGCAGAGGCATGTTAATGGCAGTGGAGAAGTGGATGCTTTCGCTAAAAGATGCAGGAAGCAGAAGCCCATGGCGCGCTATGGCTTTGGAGAGGATGCAAGAAAATGCGAAAAAGGCGGCGATTCGAAGAAGATTGTGCTTAGACTGAAGGATCCTGATGGGACAGTATTTGTTTTCAAAGCCAAACGGAATGTAGCGTTCAGGAAGGTACTGGAGGCGTTTTCAAATAGTGTTCAGAAGAGCAGTGAGGAGTTCAGAATGTTATTTAAAGGAAAGAACTTAGATCTTGGAATGACGCCTGATGATCTTGGGCTTTCTGAAACTGAAGATATCGAAGTGTTTACGTCACAGGAGGGAGGCAATTGCTTGCTGGGCTCACAGCAGCTTAGAATGAAGCATGAGCAATTCATGATCAGGCAGCCTGCAATTGATGGCCGGATGCTTTGAAAATCAGAAAGTGATTAACCGCAACCCCATAAAATGAGGGGAAGCAAAGCACAAATTCGGATATTTGAGGAAAATGCAATTACTAGGAAGCTTCTGTTAAGAAGCGTTGGACTGTACAATGTGTGCATGGTGATAATGTATTTGCTAAAGGGTGAGATGAGGCCAGTGCTGTACTTGCTTAGATCTATTCCGGAGGGAGCTGCGATTTATTATCTGTACAGAATCTCTACACCGGGGATTTGCTCAGAAGGAAAGACACAAACACTTGTCAGCTCTGGAGAGGCTCTGAGTTCAAAAGGGCATGTGAGTGTTGCATTTGACTTTCTGTTTGTGTCGATGCTTGTGAAGTTTCTTCTTCTGTACACAAATAAAGCATGGGGGCTGTATACTATCACGGTAGTGTCATGCTGTTATGAATTTGTATACAAGCCATTCAAGACATTGAGGCCATGCAAGCAAAAGAAGATTGAATGATGAAGAGCATTATTTCTAATAAACGGCGTTGATGGATGTGCTTTATCAATACTCTTTATTGAACTGAATGAGCAATGGATTGGATTCCAGGGGATGACTGAACTGACTAGTTCAAGATGTACTTGCATGTGTGGAGTTGAGTGTGCCAAACTGATTGAGGAACATTTTCTTTGTCTCCTCGAAATCCTTGGCGCAGTCTTCTTCAAACTGCCTCTTTAGTCTTGCATTTGTAAGCTGTGCACGCAGCTTTTCAAGGAACTCTCTCCCGTGTGAGCGTGCATATCTTACATACAGAGACAGCTTGGAGAGGATAACACCGCCAAAATCGTTTCCTTCCTTGATTTGTTCAGCAAGGTTATGCAGCACCAAACACTCAAACTCCTCCATATCGATTATTTTTGTGTCCATCATGGTGATGAAGCTGTCCAGACTGCAATTTCGTACTAGATGCTCAAGCTCTGCAGAGTAGTCTCTTTCCTCTTGAGACTCAGAAATCGTAAATGATCCAGAGTCCACACACACATAGCGTGGCTTCAGTATTTCCTGTATCTCTTTCTTTTCTGCTTCAACGTTCTCGTCGTGCGTGTCGATTGCATTTATTTCGTCGAGTCTTTTCTGAAGTTCTTCTCTTTTCTGCTGCCTCTGCTGCCTCCTCCACTCCCTGAAGCTTTTTTCGTCTATATTTGGATGCACTTCTTCATCATCGTCGCTTTCTAAGCAGACGCCTGCGTATTTCATGCTAGTCTCTGGGCATTTCATGCACTTGGGGCACACGTGATTTTGCATGTTTGATGCCTAAGCCCATGCCACTCAAGTACACACCAAAGATGTGCATGGTGCCGAAGGTTGAGCAGATCACCACGCCAAACAAAAATGTGCAGAGCTACTTTATGAGAAGTGACACATCGTACTATGTTGACGAGGGACACAGGATGGCGAGCTACAGAACGGATGAGCCGATTGTCCATGTGTTAGTGTATGGACGACGACTTATTGTGGAGAGTATGGCCGAGAGCATTGATATTGATGGGTTTTTTGATCTTGTGAACATCAGCACAGAAAGGTTTGCAAGCCTGGAGGAGGGGCTAGGATGGCTTGGGAACCGTGTTGTAGCAGCAGCAGGAAGACTTGGGATTGATCCAAAGAGGTCGTTTGTGTCGGTTGTATTTCATGATCTGCTGAGCAGGACCGAGATTTTGGGGCTGTGCAATCTGTTTATCAATCTTCTGTCGTTCAAGGGGGTGCTGGTGACGCCTTACAGCCTGTCTCAGGCGATATGTGTGGTTTGCCCAAGCTGTGTGGTGGTCAACATGTATGAGACGTACTGCACAGTGAGTCTTATTGAGGACTTCTGGGTTGTTGATGCGATGTGTGTGAGTGAGAAAATCAGCAAAGGATTTATGCTGCAGGATTCTGTGGACTTTGTGGATGAGTTCAACAAGGTGCGAATATTTGAGGAGAAGAATATATACTGGTGTGATTTGTGTGATCAGAAGGGAGAGTGCTTGGAAGTAATGAGACAGCATTTTGATGAGATGCATGCAAGCAGTGCAGAGTGTCATGCAGGAAGGGATGATCACTTTAGGATGCACATAATGAAGTATGAGGAGAGTGGAGATCTGTGCAGCCGGATTTATGCAAGGCTGGGGTATGTTCTAACGAAGGAGAAGATCAAGAAGATAGGCAGCAAGGTGATGGTGATTAAGCACCATGAATGTGAGGTGCCTGAGGAAGAATTGGGTGCATGCTTAGAAAGGCTTGGGACGCATACGGAGATTGTTGTATATGAAGAGCCGATGGATGAGGCGATTCTTGGCGTCATGGAAAGGTTTTCGAATCTTGACTGCATCAAAGAAGTGTGGATGACAGACAAGGAGTGGAACAGTGTTGGGTTGCGTGTATTGAAGGAGAAGGTTCTGTTTGTGGTATAAGATGGTGTGTACAAGAATGGCAGGCGGTTGATGTGTGATGAGTAGACTAAGAATGCGTGAAAAGTAGTGTAAGCTGAGGAATGATTGAGGAATGATATTAGCGGCAGCAAAGCCCCTTGTGATGGAAGAAGAGGCTGAGTTTTTCGGATTTGCACCAGCCTCGTTCATATCTGAGCTGCAAATGGAGATAGAGAATGTGCTGGCAGATGGGATCAGCAGGCTATGCGAGCTGAAGAGAGGAAAGATGCAGAGGATGTCTGATGTCTTGCTTGAGAGTTTCCGCAGGAATTACTTTATATTTTCGAACTTTGTGCTGCGCAACATTGTGTGTTTTCCTGATGGGTTTGAGATGGAAAGAAGGGCAAGCGAGGAGGTTGTTGTGGCTGATATGCAGCAGATAACTGACGAGCTGATGGCGAGTTTCTTGGAAGAGGAGAGGCAGCAGGAGGAGTTTGATGGCTTGAGAGAGGACCTGGAGGTTGAGGAGTACCGGAAGGAGATGTTTTGCAAGATGATGAGGTGCTCTGAGCCAGTGAAGGAGCTTGTGCAGAGCATTAGAGCAACCAAGGACGAGCTTGAGGCGATCAAACAGTTGCAAAGCAGGCTTGGGGTGTTTGGTGCAGGAGACGATGGGTTTAGCCGATTGTTAGAGTACAGAGAGATCAGAAGCAACTTTGCAAGGAAGGAGCGAGATGATCTACTTATGATTGGAAATGCAGAGGTGTTTGCCATGATGAATGAGAGCATAAATAAATGCGATATTTGAGATGAGATTGTTTTTGAGAGGCAGTGAGCTGTGCGGATCAACAGTCTGCATGATTGCTGTACATTCACTGGGTGTGTGAATCCCCTGAAATGGCGATGATTCGGAAGCTGATGATAAGCGGAATAAGGTCGTTCGGCCTGAGGGATTCAAACACCCTGGAGTTTTACTCGCCATTGACACTGATTGTTGGAGCAAATGGAACTGGAAAGACGACGATTATTGAGTGCTTGAAGTATGCGACGACGGGGAGTCTTCCACCGAATAGCAGGGGAGGAGCGTTTATTTACGACCCAAAGATGGCGGGTGAAGTTGAGGTGTGCGGACAAGTGCGGCTTCTCTTTACGAGTGTGTATGGAAAGCAGATGGTGTGTTCAAGAACGCTGCAGTTGTCGCTCCGGAGAGAGCGTGTGGAGCAGAAGACGGTTGAGAGTGTGTTGAGAGAGGATGGAGAGGGTGTGAGCGGAAGGCGTGGAGACATTGATGCGGAGATGCCTGTGCATCTTGGTGTGCCAAGTAGTGTGCTTGAGAATATAATATTCTGCCATCAGGAGGAAAGCACATGGCCATTGAGCGAGCCTGTGGTTGTGAAGAAGAAGCTTGATGAGATATTTGCATCGTCGAAGTATGGCAAGGCGCTTGATAGCCTGAAGTCGCAGAGGAGGGAGTGCATGTCAGGCATAAAGCTAAAGATGCAGGAGCTTGAGTTTCTGAGGAAGGTGAAAGAGCGAAGGGACGTGCTTGTGATGAGCATAAGGAGCAGCAGTGCAGCAATTGAGAGGAACGAGGTCAAGCTTGAGGCATATGAGACGGAGATAGTGAAATGCAACAGAGTGATTGGCGAGATATGTGCAGATATGATGAGGAATGAGGAGATGGATAGAAGGATGCATGTGCTTGAGAATGAAAGGAGCGAATTGAGGATGTTTGTGGGCAATTTTGGAGGACGATTGTTGAGTGCTGATGAAGCGAGCGATATATTGAAAGGAGAATTGTTGAGAAATGCCGAGGATGAGTATGCAAGGGTTGAGAAAGAAACGGATGGAGCCGAGAGAAGATTTAAGATGATTGTGGAAGAGCGAAGTGTGTATTTGAGAAGAAGAGCGGAGCTTGATGGAGTGTTTTCTGAGATTTCGATTAGATCTTCGAAGCTAGAGGATGCGAAGGCATGGAGGGATGAGGCGGCTGGAAGGCTTGAAGGCGAGTTAAGAGTGAAAGAAGGGTTTAGGGAGACGGCAAAGAGTGTTTTTTCAAGAGTTGAAGGCGAGATTGTAGCTCGAAAGGAGAAGATCCAAGAGAGTGAGGGCAGGCTGCAGAGGTTGCGTGATGAGGAAGGGGAGAGGATGTGCGTGGTTCGAGAGAAGAAGCGGGCGATTGAGGAGTATGAGATGTTAGAAGATGATGTGAATGTGGAAGTGGATGTGAATACTTCGTATGAAGAAGAGATTGAAAGGCTAAGGATGGAGATGTGTGAAGACAGGGAGGTTGAAGTTTTGGAAGAAAGGCTGGAGGAGTATCAGAAGAGACTGAACAAGGCATACAGTGTTGCAGAGTGCAATTTTGAGATGAATAGGCTGAGAAGCCGAAGGAGAGAGATTGAGAGTATGCTGAGCGGAGTTGAAGTTGCAGAGCTACAAGGTGTGCTTTGCAAGCAAGTAGAGGAAGTTGGCAGGAAGCGAGAAAAGATCAAATCTGTTGAGAAGGAACTAGGATATAGAAATGCAATGAAGGATCAAGCGAGGATGGAATGCAAACGAGTACAGGAGGAGATATTGGCGAAGATAGACAGGTTGCGGGTTGCTAGGAGGAAAGAGGAAGAAGAAATTGTGCATGGTGAGAAGATGTATTTGAAGCGATGGGCCGGCAAGTATTCGATGGACGATGCCAGAAGTGCGATTGGCAAATGCGGAGAATGGCTTATGAGTGATAACAAGGAGTCTATATTGGGGGATCTTGAACCTGAATGTGTTTATGATGATGAGCAGCTGGCCTGGGAGCTTGATAGACTTGACAAGGAGGTTGGCAAGGGATCTTGCACTAGTGTGTATGTAGAAGCATTGGAGATGGTTGGTGTGTATCATGTGTGCCGAATGTGCAACAGGAAGCTAAGCGATGCAGAGTCTGAGGAGTTGAAGGCATCGCTGGAGTCGATGGTGAGCGAGATGCAAGTATCAACGAATGATGCGCTTGGCAAGAGAGCAATGCTGAAGAAGGCGATGCAGGGGATTGAGGAGAGGAATATGGTACGATGTGAGATTGTTGACCTGATGAATGGATACGAGGATGTGCCTGAATATGAGGCAGTAGACGACTTTGAAGGGATAGAGCTTGATGTTCTTGATGCAATAGAGAATATGAAAAAGATAGAGAGGCAGATTGAGGCGGTGAATGAGATGTTTGTGATAGATGGAAAGCTGAAAGATGTGGAGGAAGGAGAGTCGGTACAGGAGCTGAAAGGGATGATTGATGGGATTAAGAGGATATATGAGGAGAAGAGGCGTGAGAGGAGGAGGAAGAATGAGCTGATGACGAGGCTGTGTAAGAAGCAGGCGCTTGTGAATGAAATGAAGGATATACGAGAGAAGATCAATTTTAGGGAAGAGGCAAAAGAGGCAATTAGGATGATTGAGAAGAGCAGCATGAAGGCAGCAATAGATGATATAGAGAATGAGATTGCGAGAAGAAGGAGGAAGCTTGAGAGGATTCAAGATGAATATTCGAAGCGCAGAGTTGCACTTGAGATGGATATTGAGATGATTGGAGTGAAGAGCAAGGAGATTGATGTTTTAGATGGAGAGATTGGGGTGCTTAATGCAAAGGTCAAAGAGCTGCTTCAAGGAGACTGGTGTGAGGAAGCAAGGGATGAAAGGATGTTTGAGACGCTTAGAAATGAGCTTGTTGATATGAAGAGCAAGGCTGTTGAGCTAGGGCAGAAGATTCGTGCAATGTATGAATCAAAAGCAGCGGCAAAGGAAAGCATAAAGTACTACAGTGCGGTTAGAAGGATTGGAGAGATTGAGTGTGAGCTTGGAGAGATTGATTGTGAATATTTGAGTGTTATCAAAGAGAAGAAGATAAAGCTAGAGGAGAAGAAGATAAAGCTAATTTCGCACAAGTCGCTGATACTGGGAGAATGCAAGCAGATTGCATTAGGAATAAAAGGATGGAAGCAGGAGCTGCAGAACGACCATGTGGATACAGTGGAGAAATATAGTCGGTGCTTTGTTGAGTTGAAAGCATTGGAAGCATCATGCTCCGATCTTGAGATATGCATCCAGGTATTGGACAAGGCAATAGTTGACTTCCATTCGTTCAAGCTAGATGAGGTGAATACGACGCTCAAGGACCTGTGGAGAAGCACGTATGTTGGAGGAGATATTGACTGGATTGAGATCAAAACTGAAAGTATGGGGCAAAAGACATACAACTACAAGGTTGTGATGGTGAAGAACGGAGTTGAGCTTGATATGAGAGGAAGATCGAGTGCTGGGCAGAGGATGATAGCCAGTATTCTTATCAGGCTTGCATTGGCCGATTCGTTTGCTTTGAACTGCAGCATCCTGGCTCTTGATGAGCCGACAACAAATCTTGACAGGGGCAATATGGAGAGTTTTGCGCTTATGCTGTCGAAGGTGATATCAGCACATAAGCACAGCCCAAGCTTCCAGTTGGTTGTGATTACACATGACGAGGACTTTGTGGAGTTGCTGAACAGGGACGGGCCTGAGTACTTTTACAGGCTGAAGAGGGATGAGGGAGGAAACTCGGCAATTATTAGGCATTCGGTGTATGGCATGCATGGGCCATGACATATCTGCATGGCCTTGTGGGTGGCAAGCCTTTATTTCGGACATTAAAGCATCTGAGATTCAGTGTGGCGTTTTTATTTACTTTGTTAGAAACACTTATGCATTACTTACTACTCTTACTGCTGCTCACTTCATCTGCTAGTGTGGACTTGGCTTGAATCCATCGACAGCCATGTTTCTTGTGGCCCTAGGAATGATGAATGTTGCCTGCTCAAGATCTTTTGAAATCTGTACCTGGCACCCAAGCCTGGATGTGCGTGTCGAGCCAAATGCCTGGTCAATGAGGTCGTACTCCTTGTCTGATGGCTCCTTCAACTTGTTGTATACAGACTCCCCAAGAATCACATGGCATGTTGAGCATGCAAGGCTTCCTTCGCATGCGCCTTCCAGCTCTATCCCGTTCTTATGTGCTGTTTCCAACACAGAGTCGCCGATGCATGCATTCACAGGAACAATCTTTTTTGCCACTTGATAAAACACACAAACCTTTCCACCTGTACAATCTGCATTCTTCATGCCGTGCCATGGGCCATACAAATCAAAAAACAACTTACTTACTGGATTTAATACTTTGCAGACGCTATTCGATTCAATGCTTCAATTTGCTTTGCACAGTCTACTGCAAAGCCATGCAGCTGTGCTTCATGCATGATTAGACTCTGGTTGATATGATCAAGTGTGCCGCACACCACCTTATCCAGGATCATCTTCCTTAGCTTCTTCTCAATCACGTCCACATCAAAGCACAGCATCCTGGCTATAAACTCGATTCGGACCACAGAGTACGGTTCCACGATCTTCACGATGTTCTTCTCAAGCAGAGCATCATACAGATACTGCATGTGTGCATATATAAATGCATCCAAGCCTATCACATCTGAGTTTGCAACAAGAACATCGCTGTACATCTTCAGATCGCGATCTCTACATGCACCGCTTATATTCAGCAATGTCTTGACTACCCGGTCATCCAAATACTTCATTGTGCTCTTATTCCTCAGCACTACTGCAACTTCGTCACACTTGTTTGCCATAATCTTCGATAGTATGAGGTATCTCAATGCAATGCATGCCTCTGTATCCAACTTTCCGAGTGCAAATCCCTCCAGTGCCTCAACAAAGTACGACGATGCCACCCCGTAGTTTCTTTCATCACATATATACATTCCACTCAGCAGGTCTATCTGTGCCTGTAGATGTGACGGGCAATATGCCGAGACTGCTAACACTCTTGCAGATGTCAGGCATGCTCTTGACTTCGATATGTTCTTCAGCTCATACAGTGCTTTGCTCTCATACACATGCAGCGTGATCAGATTAACCTTGTCATCGTACTTCTTCAGCTCATGCATCACTTCCCCGACCTGATCAAGCGTATCTGTGTATTTTCCTGTCTTTAGCAATGCATATATTCTCTTGCATTGCAAATCCAGCTTCAACATCTTTTTGCCTTCGTCGTCGGCCCATGCAATAAGTGCTTCAAGAAGGTTTAGGATTGCTTCAAAGCTTTCCTCGCAGTATGGAATTGTCTCGAAGAATGCCTTTATGATCTTTGTGACTCTTGCAGTTGTCAGGTCCTGCCACATGCCCTTCAGCCCAATAATTGCATTTGCAACACTGTCGTAGTCTCTCCGGGACACATACGCATTGAGGGCCTCAAGGACTGCGCTTTCCTTTTCCTCAAGAGTTGTGTTTTTGCTTGCAAGCACCTTCCTAAGCTCCTCGGTCATCAGGGCGTGTGTTTGTTTGTTTTTTGTGCACAACCCTGTTATGAAGGCAGTGGCTGGGGGATCTGGAAATTCCTCTGCCTATGCCATGCGCATGCATGCAATGGAAAGCAGCAGATACTGTGCATATACGAAGAGGCAGGCACGGCGTCTTTATGAGGAGCATAGAAAAACAGTAGTTGCCCGTATTGATATCAAGGAAGTACAGCAGCGGGTGATTGGTAAGATCACAGGAACGGATGATTCTGTTGATGTGATGCTGAGTAGCATAAGAGATATGAGAAGTTACGATGGCATCATGAATACAGCTGATGATAGCATGCAGAACATTTCAGACTATGATGCCCTGGGAACAATTGGTAATGCATGTGATGATCAGCAGCGAATGATATATCATGATGAAGTGATTGAAGACGGAAGCATGCTTGGCGGGATGCATATGAATGGCGAGCATGATAATGTACAAAAAAAGAGGCGTAGGAAGAACAGATTTGTAGATGACGAAGCAGATGTGTCTGGAGAGGACAGCGGAACAGATGAGGAGTATGAGAGTAGCAGAGACGAGGTGTCTGAATTGGTTGCGTCTGATGGTGAGGAATCCAACGAATTGCATCGAAGTATATATAATGAAGATGCATTAAGAAGGAATGAAAGAATGCTGAAGGCACTGCATGATAGATTTTTCGGCAGCCCAGTTGGCAGAATGAAGATTGTATCTCATGATGCGCATAATACATTGAAAGTCTGCGCCTCAAAAGCCGAGAGTCTGAATGCCGAAGAAAGCGAAGATGGAAGCCAAGAGAACAGCTACTTCGAAGAGCTAGACGATGCTGAGAATTCTCTTGTATTTCCGAGTGAGGATGTTGAGTATTCCGAGGATGCATGCAGAAGACAGATACACCATGAGTATGCCGAAGTTGAGTTTATAGGAAATGCTAATATAGTTGAGAAGAAGCTAGGCAACAGAAATAATGTATGGGAGTTTAGTGAGAAGCATGAGTAGTGCGTGAACATAAATGCTATGAGATTTATTTGATATTCATGCATGGAGTGTGCATTTTAAACTATTTTCGCCGCACTGTACATACAAGATGTGTTGATTTAAAAGTCTCTTTACTTTACTAGTATTGTAGGTGAATCGACTCGAACACATTGCTAGCAATTTCATGATGCATCGTATATACTCTATCTTGGCTAAGCGATGCTTTGAACGAAATCATGAATGTGTTACCTGATCTGGCCATGTCACCAGTGCCTATGCCTATGACATTTGACTGGAAGTTGTGTGGGTTTGAGAGCAATAGCTTGATATATACATTCTCGTCATTGTGTGTGCCACAGTACTCGATGTCCTGGATTGACAGTGTACTTTTTCGTCGAATCCACACAACATCCAGGTCTATTGGAATGCATGGGCTTCCGGAGAATACCAAGCCAATCAATTTGATTTTGAGTTCATCGATCTCCTGGTGCTGCAGATCTATATGTGATGCACAAGAATAAAGCACTGGTACGGTTGCACAATACCCGTTGAGCTGTGTATGCACAGGAATGAAAATGCTTTCGGAGGCATTTGCTTCTCTAGCAACGATACCGTGCATGCTTACCGATGTGTGCTTGCAGAAAACAATTTTAAGCTCGAATGCATCCGTAAAGCATGTGTCTGTGCAATCAGCATTAAATACAACATTGCTGCCAGTGCATTTGTAAATCCTAGATTTTTGCAATTCGACTGTTTTTATGCAGAATGCTGGTTGATCTACAAAGCGCAGTCTGTATGGGTTCTCACCATATATCAGCGAGTCACTCATATGCACTTTTGAAGCAATGCCTTTCATGACGGATATCCAGTTGGGCTCACTTATGCACTCGAATGCTCTTGCCATCATGGACTGCTCAAGATCAAAGTTTGCACCTTGCTTTAGGAGCCTTGATGCAGCAATTAGATATAGAAATGCATATCGATGCTGTGCTGCACCAAGTGCCTTTTGATGCATTCTGTAATGCAAGAGTGCAGCATGGTATCTTTCTGCCTTTCCAATAAACTTTATTGCTTTTCTAGCTGTTCTGAGTGTGATTGAGTCTAGGATGTCCAAAATGAATACGATTCTAGATTCTGGGTCGCTGTAAGACATCAGTGCTTGTACGATGCGGTCCATACTGCCGTTTCTGATTTCCTGAGTAGAAGCTGCTTGTATTTCTCTGGCTATTTGTGCTTCTTTCCTGAGGGTTTTTATTTCAGGATGTTTGGTCTTTATGTGGTAGTTGATCATGTTGCATTTCATGTAGAATGCATACTTCGTATCACACCTGGATGCAGAAGCCATGAATTGGCTGAGGGTGTGGGAGATATACTCAACAAGCTGTTTTCTGTATGTGTCCCATGGAACCTGTGTATCTGAGGGCCATGGGATCGGAGATCGATTGAAGAATACAACGCCGTCCTTGCATACTGAATATATGTCTATTGTGTTGAATACAGTGTTTCTGAACATGCTTTTTGGCATTGAGAATATTTCTATGGTTATGAATGGATGTAGTCGATGCCACTTTCCTGGCATCCCAGACGATGAGCACGCATCCGTTGCTAGATCAAGCTCGTCATGCTGGATCCGACTCACTCGAGGGAATGTGCTTGTGCCTGAATGGTACACCTTGACCGACCTCTTCATTGCCAGTAAACAAACCAAATGATAAATACAATCACGTATGCATAGCCAGACGAATCTTGGAATGCTCATCTGCACATGAACACACTCTGAGCACAATGCGCAGGTATTATCGGTAGAGGCACACGAAGCCCATGAATCCAGGCAGCAGCCAGGTAGAGGTTGTTTGGAGGGACATGACTGTTGAGTCTGCAGATGGGCAGTCCGAGCAAAGCGTCATAGTGAACAGGGTGCATGGTAAAATTGCGCCATACACAATGGTTGCTCTTATTGGGCCGAGCGGAGCAGGAAAAACAACGATGCTGAATTCAATCACAGGTAAGTCAAGAGAAGGGCTGAGAGTGTCTGGAGAGCTGTTACTCAACGGCAACTTTGTTGATCCTAGAGTGTGGGAGCATGCTGTTGGGTTTGTTGGCGAGCATCTGTATGAATATGAAACACAGACGGTCAAGGAGACGTTGAGTTTTGCAACCACGATGATGCGTGGAGGCACATGCGATGAGATTGATGCGGGCGTTTATGAGTTGGCACAGACTCTTGGCCTTATAAAGACACTGGACACACGCATTGGATTGATATCAACGGGGGAAAAGGCAAGGCTGTCGTTGGGCATAGCGCTTATCAAGAGGCCGGCGATACTTATCATAGACGAGATCATGAACGATCTTGACCAGTCCACAGCCGTCCATATTCTGGAAATACTGCATGAAATAAAGCAGCAAGGAAAGGGGATTATGATTGCATTCCAGAAGGTTCCGTGTGATGTTCTTGAGTTTTTTGATAGCATTATGATGATTTGCCAGGGAGAAATTGTGTTCAGCGGAGGTGTAAATGAGTGCCTGAGGTTCTTTGCATCGCGAGGATACCGTCCTGGGGAGTTGCAGAATGTTTCTGAGTTTCTGGGTAGTGTTCTTACGGTGAATGTATCGGATGTGGTGTCTGAGGAATCTGAGCAGCAAAGAATCGAGGCAATGAAGAGATGCTGGAAGCAGGTAGAGCCTCCTGTTGTGTCGTCGATTATAGCACAGATTGATTGCCCGGTTGTGTTTGACAGGACGCTGCAGAAGTTCATGATGATATTCCGACGGAACATACTTGACTTTTTCAGAAAGACGGAGTTTTTGAAGATTGTTGGCGTCCAGAAGATGACCACACTGGTGATGCTTGTCTTTGTGTACTTCCGACTTGATTACACACAGAACGGCATAAGAGACAGGTTTGGCATTTTGTCGTTTATTGTGATCAACTGCTTTGAAAAGACGGTTACTGTGTCGATCATGGTGTTTGAGGCGCATAGAAAGGTGATTAAGAGGGAGATATGTACGGGTATGTATGGAACAACGGTATCCTACTTTGCAATGCTTGTGTCGAGCTTTACGACATCTGGGCTCTCGAACCTTGCATACACAGCTGTGGTTTACTGGATGGTTGGCCTGAACCCAAGGTTTGACAGGTTTGTGTTTTTTCTTGTGATTCTAATTGCAGCGCTGGTGTTTTCGATATCGTTTGCAATGCTTGTCGCACTGAACACCAAGACGCATGTGCAAGCACAGATACTGGGCTCAACAATCATCACGTCGTTTGTGATTTTTGGCGGGACATTTGTGAATCCGGACACGATTCCTGGGTTTATACGGTGGGCAATATGGCTATCTCCAATATACTATGCGTTTGAGGCGATGCTGCAGAACCAGTTCAAGGGAATGCTGTTTGAGTGCGACCTTTCCGGAAGGGAATGCATGCCTGATGGAGATCAGGCGCTGCAGTTCTATGGGTTCAAGAGGATTGGTACGGGGCTGTCCACAGGCATTCTGTTTCTATCCACCGCTGTGTGTGTTCTTCTTGGCGTTGCATCGATGAGGACTGTGATCAAGCCGAGGATTGGGGAGAAGGACTTTGAAAACAGATCTGAGATGGCAGGAAGGATTTAGTTTAATGTCTTTTGTTTGTTTGCGAGCCTGATGGGCCGCACAGACACTCGTTTTGGCTCGTTTTCTCGTTTTTCGACGATGTCTTCCCAGTTGGGACACACAGCCTTCGTTCTTTTTTTTCTTCTGATGCGGTATCTGTCGATGTCTTGCTTGGTGAATCCGTAGTCGTAAACTCCGCGCCTAATGATGAGATTGTGGTTGAGTGCAGTGGTGTTATTTTCTGGACGCTTTGCTGCGCCAATTGCTTCAATAATGGAGAATGGCAATGCTCCTCTTGAGATTGTGTATTCGCGTTCCTCTATGAATCTGTTTATGCAGAACTCTCTAGGCGTGCCTGTGCTGTGAATGAATCCGTGCGTGTATGAAGGATGGGCTGATTTGCATGTGTCTTCTTCTGTGTAATCGTCAAGATCCGTGTGGCTGAGATGCAGCGATGCCAGTAGATTGTCGACACTTGAGCCTGCACATCCGGTTTTATTGTCTTTTTTCATGGAGGAGGATGGGCTATGCTGTTTTTGTCTTTGGGCCAGCAGGATCTGGGAAGAGCACATTTTGCAGAAACATAAGGGAGCATGGAGCCACGATTGGAAGGAGCTACAAGGTGATCAATCTTGATCCTGCACAGGCATCGACAGCCGATGAGTACGAGGTTGATCTTAGGGAGTTTATTACAGTTGAGGAGATGATGGAGAACTATGACTGTGGGCCAAACGGAGGATTGCTAGCGGCGCTTGAGGAGTTTTATGAGAACATTGACGAGATGAGTTTTGGGGATCTTGAGGATTCGTTTCTGTTATTTGACTGTCCTGGGCAGCTGGAGCTGTTTATGCATTCTGATGTGATGCAGAAGATAATTGACCATGTGAAGCAGTATTTCAGATGCGGGATTGTGTATGTGATGGAGGCGCAGTATTTTGTGGATGTGCACAAGTATATCAGTGGGTGTCTTTGTGCGCTTGTTTCGATGGCAAGGCTGTCTGTGCCGTGCATCAATGTGGCTTCGAAGATGGACTTTGTTGCTGAGGACGATTTTTCTGTGTTCTACACGCCAACGAGCGAAATATCACGGATGCTGGGAAGCAGCAAGTATTCGCAGATATCCAGAAGGATCCTGGAGTTTGTTGTCGATAGCAGCATGGTTGACTTTATTCCGCTGGACTGGGGAAAGGAGGAATCTGTAGAACGGATGATATATCACATTGACAATGCAGTGCAGTACTATGATGATGCAGAGCCAAAAGCGCGTGACATTGATGATGGATGCTGAGGAGGCGTGTGCAACGCTTGGCTGTGAGTTTGAATAAATGTTTTGATGAGCAAATGTGCAAGGCGAGGAAGAATTAGCACGAATAATCCAAATGGCTAACGATGAAAAAGCATTTCAAGTATCCATGAGGAGTATGCAGGTCTAATGCCTGTAATGTGCTAAATCATATGCTTTGGAACAAGGATGCTAGCATAGTTTTCAAATATATAATCGCTAAAGCAATGACTGCAGAAATGTTTATATCTGTGGATGCTGATGGAATTCATGTGGCAGCAAGTAAATAAAGCACTTAGTTGATGGATCATTGTTTATTATACCAGAAAAGTGGAATTTCTTACTGAGCAAGCAAAGGATGTTATAATTAATGTAATATATGTGAATAATGTAGTGAAATTAATGGATAGCTAGCATGTGCGATTGCATATGAAGAAAGAAACAGCATTTAGGATAGAATCATCGTATAGGAGATTAGAATGTTATCGCTCACAACACGAATGCAATAATAAAGATCGCAGTCTTTCACAGCAAATCTTAGTGGCAGCATGATCTAATATCATGCAATCAACATCAATGCTTGCTGGAAGATGTGACACAATTAATTGTTTTGCCAATAGGTTCACTTATAACGGCAGAAGGTATTCGCAATTTACCTTTTAATGCAGATGAAATGCCTGGGTATGCAAGTGAAGTAGCATATTGTATATGGTGCATGATATACGATTGAAATAAAGTAAGAAATAATGTGTAAGAATAGATATCCATATATAATGGCATCTGCAGAGCAGCAGGGACCTGATAATGTACTGCAAGATAGACATGATTGCACAATAGATTGGCTGATTTATATTGGTAAACATTTGACTTATTTGAAGAATTGGAGTGCCTTAGTGAGACAGATGTTCGATGAAATTGGAGAAGAGGGAAGGATAAAAATGCTGAATAACCTTATTCGTGCAAATAGATTTGAAGAGAATGGACTTGATGATTTGATGAAAGTACTGAAAGAAGCATCGGTTGAATATAAGAAAATAGCAGATATGTTGCTTGGAGTTAAAGACAAGAGCCTAGTAATACGTATAATTTCCATGATGCAAATGTGGTATAAGTATGAATATGTGACGAATATATTTCTGAGCATTGATGATAATCGTTTGAGAAGCATGATTTCTGATCTTAGATATTGACCAGAATTAATTGCAAGGATATTGGGTGGAGCTGATGATATTGATAAGCTTAGCAGGTTATTTAATGATGTGTTAAATGAGATTAGCGAGAAAGACATGGAAACTGTGTTAGTTAAGATTGTGATCAATAAGAATATTGTTAATAAGTTGATAGATAAGTCAAAGGATGAGCAGAATAAAATACTGAAAGTAATTCATAATATACAACTAGTTGATAAAATAAAGTGTAAGATTAAAAAAGAAGAAGAAGTAGGGTTATTACTGTCGATATGCAGAAAAATTCACAAAGCAGTCTTCGATAGATATCAAAATACTTTGGATAATATGCCTGAGGTTTTGAATGGTAGTAATCGTGCAGAGTTCGAAAGTTATGAAGCATTTATGGAAAAAGTGAAGAGTATACGTATGCTAGAAACATTTTATAAGCTGTTTGTAAACAAAGGATTGGCAGATAGTGATGCATTGAAGATGTTTAATATGATTGATACTAATGATGATGCCCAGCAAAATGAATCGTGTGGAGTGGTTGAAAAGCGGGAGGATATCGTAGGCATGACTGCAACAATAAAGAGAATAATTTCGGGAATGGAAGAGAGTATGAAGGATACTAATACTGAAATGCTCGTAAAAGTACTCGAAGATAACTTGTGGAGTATGGATGAAAAACTGCGTAAAATGGTATGCGATATGATAATAGATATATCCAAAATGGATGACTACAGTACTACTGAATACCTGTATGAATTGCTAAATAGGATGGATGAGATCTTTATTGAAGCAGAGGCCCTAAAAGAGAAATACAAGAAAGTATATGATCAAGTAGTAAGTTTTTGCAACGAGATCGAAAAGAAGATATACATATGCTTGATGAAAAGAATGTTGGATATTGCTAGTTCAATTGCTTGTGAAATAGACAAAGCAGTGCTTATGAGGTATAGTGAGTGCATTAAGAGATTTGAAGATGAGAAAATGACGCCTGAAGATTTGAATAGTATACTGCTTACTGTTGTGGAAAGCATATGCAAAGAGCTGGTTAATAATGATCACATGTTGAGCAATCAAAGTGATAAAGAAATTGAAGAGACTATCAAAGCATTACCATATGTTCGAGTGTTAATACGAAATTGTGAAAGCAATCCGTTGATTAGTGGGGCGCAG